CCTTCAGTTGTTGAGTTTACATTAAGCTGACTTTCAATAATAAGTTGGGAAAACAAGCAAACGTGACAAGCATCATAACTGGACCGGGGGTGGCTGCATTTTACTAAAGGATGACATTTTATAGAAGCCGGAGAATATTGAATAACCATTCCATGCTTTTTGATAGCAAACGCAGCAATGCTACTCTAGCAAACATAACTACGCCCCACACGTAGTATCTGGTTTTCTAACTTCGTGAAAGGTGATTAAAATGTAAAAGAAATCCAGGGGATAAAAAGTTAATTTACCTAAAATAACAGCGACCCCGCCAGGATTCGAACCTGGAATCCCCTGATTCGTAGTCAGATGCCTTATCCATTGGGCCACGGGGCCTTTCCCGAGATACAGAGAGCACCAAAGCAGAGAAATAAAAGGAGTATTATGTTCTGAAATGACATCTAACCCAATCAAAAAACAACTATTTGAATAAATTGTTATTCTTGTTGTTGTTGTAATTGTTTGAATACAAAGCCTGAGAAATAAAGTATTTTCCGTTCTGCATGGTTTTTTCGTACTTTTTTCCCTCTGTACTTTGCATGAGATAAACAAGGCATGATTTAACCCTAATTATTAGTGCTTGACTCCAGGCAAAACAAACTTCTTCCCGACTCGTCTCAAATATTCCAGCAGGCGGAGAAGCGTGTGTCTTGCAGCGTTCCGAATAACAAAGGCTAGCAGTCGACTAAAAACTACTCTTATGCACAAAGTACTATTTACCTATGATGACTGGTCTAATATACGATGCAAGTCTGTCGCTAATGGCAAGAAAGCCGCAATCTTCCTCTGTTCTTTTAAAACCTACACATTCCAGTACAACAAGACGCATTAAGCCCTTAAGGTGAACGTCCATGAGCACAAACACGACTGAAAACGCCACCATAGCGTTGTAGGGTCCAACCAAGGGTAACAGAAGCAAGCAAATACAAAACCATCTCGTTGCTAGTTAGTAGAGTTCAAAGATGCCTAAAAAACTTGAATTTAAACCCGCTGACCTTACAAAAGAAGTGGTTGCGGAAGAACGTAGCAATTCCCGTGTAGCTGTACAGGAGGCTTACTCGGTCCGAAGACATGTTCAGTGTACTTTCACAAAACTTCACCTATGTCGAAGAGAAAGACTAAACCCTTATCCCTTTTCTGCTTTCAGTAAAATAGAATCTGCTAGACGGGTTACATCACCTATCTGGGGTCCCCCACCTCTATGTAGACAGGCCCTAACATAGGATGAAACTCGTTCTTCGTTTTCGCTTACAAATTTTTACTTTTCTATAAATACTGGCATTCTTTTCGTTTTAAGCAGAGGGCCATTTCTGAGTTTCTGGTCAAACTAAATTAGTTATCACGTTTCCTCGAATAGGTGCCCGGATGCTTTTTCAAATTTCGGCTTAAAAAACAAGGGGAGATTATTGGAAGGAAGGCACTTAATCGAAGTAAAACGGCAGAAAAAAAAGCTGTCAGGCGTATGAAATCGATTAATTTTAGCCGTTAGTCGTTACAAAAAGTTAACCGTAAAAATTTCACTTTAAAACAATGCAAAGAAAATAGCCGTTAGCGGTAAAATGGAAAATTTAAATTGCTAGCCGGATAAGCCATCACCCTTCAAGTTCTAAGGAGTTACTTTGTTTTCGGAGTCTTTGCATTCGTAATCGCTTGCACTCTGAACACGGAGTAGCCATTCTTTAAACAATGTACAAAATGCTCGCACATTTTGCTCTGGACTTAGGAAACCCGCGCAATAATATTATTTCACTTCTGCTGAGAAAAGTTATATGTATGTCGTTGTCTGCTGATATTTTTACGTGTTATTCATTAACGTTATAAAAGCATTTTAATGTCCAGCTCTGGTGTTATCGCGTCAAGAATTCTAGTGCCCAGACCTAATGCTTTAAATCCGGCGTGATGTCATAAAGTGACGGCATAAACACGTTACCATGCAACTAGTCATAAACAAATCGAAACTTTGTTTCGCATCAAGAGCTCGGTTCATGCTAAAGCACCGTAAAAGAGAATGCATTTTTCTTGTTTATCGAATGGTTTGATTGAAGATATCAGTTACAAAATGAACAAAAACAAGTCAGGTGACAAAGACTCGGTCAGGAAATCCTGTTCTGCGAGAATATTTGATGAAAAAGTCAATGTCTCAAATCGTTCTGCTGAGAATTATCATGAGCCTTTAGAGGCCTTACACGGGGCACGAATCATGGCTAATGAGGTGGGCGTTTCCTATCATTACACCTCCTTTTTTTCGTTAAAAAAGTACGTTTAGTTGTTTTAGAAGTTACAATTTGTTATCCGAAGGGGCATGAAAAAAAGAAGCTCAAGTGATTTTCACAACAAACGCGCAACTAGACCTGATTCAATACAGAAGCTGCGAAAATAGGTCGTAATTGGTTAATTTCAATTGTAAAACGGTTCCCTCTAAAAGTAGCTCATTTGAAAGTCTGTCCAACATTGACGAAACACTTAACGCAACTGGAATTTTTCTGCATTAAAGGCGTTCAGGTAACTGAGTTTAAAAAAACTTTTTCTTCGTGGAGAGATGAAAAAGCGCGCGCAAATGAAATTCCAAGATTATGACGCCACTCTTCGACATTCCACTATCTTCACGCGGGATTGCAAGTTGATAATGTTTCTTACCCCAGCTTTTTCGCTCTCTTCTTATTTCGTTAATTAAAAAGATACCATTTTTGGCAATTTTTTTTTCCAGTCTGCAAGAGAAAAGGAACAACCAACACAGAAGATCATCTACCTTGAAACAGAGATTAACGGTTAGTTTTATGTGGTCACGCATGCATGAAAAGAAAAGTGCGCGCGGACTAGGAAGCCATTTTACTAAGAGTTGCCGATGCTCAACTGACAATAAGTCGTTTACCCCCTCCCTCCTCCCTCCTGCTTCTCGTTCCGTCATAGTTCCGTCTTTTGTGTTTTCCCGGTTAACTTTATCACTCAGACCTTGAATTTGTTCAAACGTTTATAATAAGTAATTGTAACATTAATTTGTGTTTTAACAGCTAAAGAGAAGGAGATTGGCTTTCTTAGGCAAACTCTCTTTGAAAATGACAAAGACATTGCCGATCTTAAAGAAAAACTGTCCCAGCTAAAACAAACTGTGCAAACAACTCAATCTGATTTTGTCAAGCACATGGCATCAATAGACGAAAAGCTACAGGAGGCAAAGAAGAACATTGCCGAGCTCGAGGGGGGCCTTAATTTTACTGTCAAGAAGAATAAAACAGAAGCAGAAGAGTCCCGGAGCAAACCACAAACGGTTAATGGTGAGTATGCAAAGTGGGATGGCGTCGTATCAACTGAGTGGTGACAACGCGGTTGATACGAAGGCCTCGTCTTTGTGAACTCATTTTATGTTCCAGGAAAGCGTTAGGGGACGTAATTGGAGAGGAAAGAGGGGTCTACATCACCTATCACTGAAAATAAATTGGTTCTTTCACAAGCTAAGGAAAATGAAACATACTCAAAATCAACGAAATCAGCATTTACGGGCCTGACTTAAAAGTACGTTTCCCATTTCTCTAAAGGCACAACTTGTAAATACCATTTTCCATCCTCAAGACAAGAAGAACAATTTCACCCTGGCAACTTTTCAATAATCTTTTGATTATATTAAGAGTTCTTCCATGCACTTTGATTTTCATTTCTTATTCTTCTTCTTCTTTTTTTTTTCTCAACCAGGCAAAGTTTACTTTGACTTTCAACCATCATGGTTTGACACTCCATCCAACAACGGTGGATGTTTCAAAGTTGAAAACTTTCCAGTTACAGCAAAAGATCTTGAAGCCTTAAGGAATGTTAAATCAAATTCGAGGACCGTCACTGAGCAAGCTAAAGGTACGAAGAAGGAAACTTGTAAAATACGATTCTTCCACAGTCCACATCTGCGCGAAAGCAGTGTAGTCTTATGAGTCACAAACAGCTAGATACCTACGATTGATAACATGTTCTTCCGTACACCGGCTTTGATTTTTTAATTATTTTTTATCTAGGCAAAGATTATTTTGACCATCATCCATCGTGGTTTGACACTCTATCAAAAAACGCTGGATGTCTTGAAGTTGAAAATGTTCCAGTTAGAGCAAAAGATCTTGAAGCCAAGAAGAAAGGTTTGTAGAGGGAAACTTGTAAAATACGATTCTCATAAGTGATGGTCCAAATCTGTGCGAAGTAGTGTATTCTGAGAGTGACGAACCAATTAAGCCAATTAGAATTGTCGATGTACCCTTCAGCTTTACTTTTGCAATGTACTCGCCTGATTCTAATAAAATGAGCAACTTAATGAGGTGTTACATCACACAAATATATCACAGATTCCTCTGGTATTGAGGTCAACTTCTTTTCCAAGAAAACCAAAGTCGTAAAAAAACCAACACATATCCCTACTTCCAACTTTGTTTAGGCTCAAACTGTTATGATTTCTGCTGTATTCAAGACTCGTGGCTTATCCAGTCAGATCAACCCTTTTTCGGAGGAGGTAGCTTAAATTGAAAAGAGTTAGCTTGCTCCCTTATCGAGTGCTCAAGGTTACGGTTTTTGCGGCGGTTTAGAATAAATGTCTCGCTGAAATTAATCCACTTTTGGTTCAGTAAGCTAAAAATCTCAGGTATCTTTATGTGGAAACGAAATTCTCTGCCTTGCCATCATGAAACAAAACTTCATTTATCTTTTATCTAGGCAAAGATTATTTTGACCTTCAACCATCATGGTTTGACACTCTATTGGAAAACGCTGGATGTCTTGAAGTTGAAAACTTTCCAGTCAAAGCAAAAGATCTTGAAGCCATGAAGAATGTTGAATCAAATTCAAAAGCCTTCACTGAGCCAGCTAATGGGTATGAAGAAGAGAACTTGTAAAATACGATTGCACATATTTAACAGTCCACATCTGTGCGAAGTGATGAAATATACGTGACAAACCAGTTAGACAATTAGAATTGCCAGTGTACCCTTCAGCTTTAGTACTTTTGCAAAGTACTCGCCCAATCTTTTTTTCAACTGTCTAAGGTGTCCATATCCTTACCATCGCCCATTACATCTTATTATGGCGAGCACTGTTTCCCGTGGAAAAATATAAGTAAACTGTAAAATGCATGTTATAAGCTCCCTAAGTTGAATCATTGTCGCAAGACCTCGTAAGGTGTTTTGCCAGTAACACAATATACGGAAGTAAGTGTAGTGCTGTTCAGTAAATTAAATGCCAAAAATTTACCTGTCAATAATTTAGCATTGTGTTAACTGTAGTACTACCTGTACTTTCGTTTGACTTAAAATCGTCACATTGACTCGGATTCTCTTTTAACATTCCACAGATCATCGTCAATGCGGGCGACCAAGTCTTTAATCTCTCTAATTGCTTAATACCTTCAAAGCCGGGCGTTGTCTGTAACTTTGAGTTCGTTATATTTCATCGTCTTTTGAAAACTTTTGTGAGCAACCATGTCTTAAGGAACAAATATTTTAATTTTTGGAACATCATTTTTAAAGCTTTTGTAAATAAGTATGTAACATTGTCATATTTGATAATTACTTAGTGAATTTTGACCAAATTTGTAAAAATTGTTCATCTCTTTTTTATTCAAATAAACATTAAATAACACACAAATGAGGTGTTTCGAGGACAATATCAGTTTGAAAAAGTATGCTGCGATATATTTGTATTTTGATTAGTGTGGTCCATGATGCACCATGCATTATTTACTGTAATAGTTACTGGCAAACTGTTGGGCAAACTTCTTGCTGATAAAGATAATGTCAGCTATGTAAATCTTGTCTGTTCACAAATGTGATTGAAGCGACTGAAAACAAAAAGAACACAGAGTACGCTGAATATCAACACTTTTCCTCCAACCAGACACTGAAACGAGAGCATAACTTAGCATGACTATTGCCAAAGAATCTTACCTTGCATGAAGTGGTTTAGTCCTCTGAGTTCGGCAATGTTTACCCCAATAACAATCAGCACGTCTATGCACTGTCTCTGTGATCAGAAAGGACATGCGCACAAAGGGTTACCTTTGACTTTAACATAATGTTTTCATCTGTAATCAAACCGATATCAAAATTCAAGAACGTAATTGGTTTTCAGCTCCAACTGGACAGCTAATGGATCATGCTTGTACTTCGACGGTGTATTAAAGCAATTTACCATTGGGAGTGGAGAGTAATCCGAGATCGCTTTGTGATTGGTCCAGAAAACTCCCACCATTCTCTCAACCAATCATATGCAAAACTAAAACCAACCTCGTCTTTATCGCTGGGATTGGCTCTTGAGGTTTTTTCCTTTCTTCTGGCCGGTTGTCTGGATAGCTTTGGTTTTGATTTTACGACACTCCATCGAAAAGCGCTCTAAATCTCATGCTGTGTTATAGACTGCTCCGTCCATTTTTATCATGTTTTCACCTATGAATATGTTTAACCGATGGGTATCTTGTCTCTGTAACTTTGTCCCAATTTTTTTTTGTTGGTAAGCGAACTTTGAGTCTCCCAATCCCACCTGCATGTAATCATTAGAGTGATAAAAATAAAGACAGACTCCTGGGATACTTGCCTGGTAGCTGATCCATTGGTATGTCACGACGAAACTGATACGCTAGCTCCTTGAAATTCCGCAATGCACATCTGTAACAAAGCACACTTTCTGAGTTGATATCATGGCTTGCTGCATCTATAGGAGAAAATAACCAAGAATGCTTTAGTCTTCACTTGTGTTGAGGTTTAAGTTGAGTTGACTTCCAATAACATTAACCTGCGCTAACTCGAACCTTGCGCTAATCCGAACCAAACTTGGTCTCCCATGGATTTCTGTCTCACATCGACTGCAATGCACAAGAAAGCAAAAGCTTTAAGTCCCAAGAACATCTTTTAAGCTAGTGCACAGCCGCAAGGAGGAGGGAGGGGGAAGAAGGATCCTGGAGTGACTGGAGTGCACTTAGCCCTTGCCTACAAACGCCAGAAGGTCGCTAGCGCTGGACACCCATCTCCCCCACCGCCCCTCCTCCCCTCCCTCACGAGAAGATCCCTCCTACACCTTAATAGACACTTCTACACTTCTACTTCAGATCAAAAACAAAACGCACCACCCACCCACTGTCGTGTATTCTTTAGAGTCCAGCTTTAGAACACACTTCTGTAACAAGTCTTTTTCACAAATGTTTTGTTCGGTTAAGTAATCCTGTCGAGAATGAAAATGTTGACGTGTTAGCCTTTTCACTCACAGGTGTGACCAAAAGGGAATATTCCTTAAATATATCATTACAATTTCAAGTACAAAGTGTTGAGAAGAAAGACCAATTAAACAAGGGAATATTATTGGATTAACGTTAATTTAATGCAGAGAATTGATAGTTATATTTTGGAGTGAAAGGGTTAGATTTCTTACTCATTGAGTCAAAATTTTCCAGCCTGAGTCTCATTATTGAGGATTCATCAAGGAGCTGGCTTTTCATGAGGAAAAGTCCCTCAAAGAGAAAAATGTTTAAAAAAAACAATTTAGGGTAGCACTAAAGAGAATTCTTTGCTTCATTTACTTACGTTGTGCAAATTACACATTACACAATGAATCACTTAAAAAGAAGACAATATCATAGACTACACATCAGGTAAATTTGCTGAAAAATAAAAAAGTGGTTCTCCTGGCATTTTCATGGGCTGAAACCAAGTCATGGTTCATAAACTGCAAGATTAAAAAAAATGCATCTTGTTTTAAAGGATAATGGCACTATTCAAAACTTACCTTAAGTATTTTGGATTCATATGGATTGTTGTTGATTATTACCAAGAAAGTGTTATCTCCAATATTGAAATCTGCCACAAATTAAAAATATAATAATTATAATAATTACAAGGCTATAAATAACAAATGTCTGGGGAAATAAACTTTAATGCACTAATCTATACATGCACCAGTATGTGCCTGTCTTACTTCTTTCAAACAATGTGGTTAGAATTTAGGACACAAATAAATACACACTTTAATTTAGTTGTAACATATTTTGGTTACTTTTCTTTACCTTTGAATTTATTGAGACATCCCAAACAGCCACTTCCATGACAGCCCCATAGCAAATGGCAAAATGCCTTTTGACAAACTGAACCTAAAACAATATTCCCACAAAAAACACATATTGACTCTCTCAACACTAAGAGTAAGCAGCACCTAGTTTCTCCATAGAGTGGTACTGCTGAATCATTCATTAGGATCATGAAATTAAAGAAAATGAACACCAATCTAAGAAGCTTTGATTGTTAAACAAAATCTCCTTGCCAGTACCAAATGAAATGTGTAGAGAAGAGTAATGAGAATAAGGATACTGATGTTAGGGAGCAGAGGGTTAACCACTGTGGGAGACAGCTGATACATGTGTTAATGGAACACTAGAGGAGCTCAATTCTCCATGCAGGATTATATATAGGTAGCAGTACTGCAGGCAGTAAAATTTTACCTGTTACTGCCTGAGAGGGAGAACATTTACACATCTCAACAACTCAAACAGAGATAAACTTACACTTCTGGGCAGGAATACTTGCTGTCATTGAATCAGGCCATCTGTGTGGCATTGGCTGAAGACAGCACTGACATAGGATGTGGATCTGATCAGGAGTACATGTGTAGTCAGGTGGTGTCACACTTGTTGATGCACCTTTCAACAAGATTAGTAAACTAGAATTCATATGAAGAACAAGATTCAGCATTCATTTGATTACAACCAGGGAATATAAAAAAGTATCTGAGTTTAGAGCATTGATTCAAGCCTGGGCCTCTTCAGAACCAGTTTTTTTGACAACCTGATTTCCCTAATCATACAACTGTGTATAACTGTGTTGCATGCACATCTGGTGAGAGTTCGGTTTTTTACACCTCTAAAACATGGTACAAAGTCTATATTCCTGTTGCTTCTCATCTCATGGGATAAACATTGGAACATCTTCCAAAATACCAAGCCACCCTATTAAGCAATGGAAAATTAAGTAACAGCATTGACCTACCCTGTATCTATCTCATTCCTGATGCCATGTTCATTAACTTGCACTCACCTTCACTAGCAGTACTGGCCATAGCTGTCAAAGTGGTTGGGGAAATGTATCCAGGACAGAGACGACAGTTTGTTGGAACAGACCTTCATAAAAAGAGTTAAATTCATAACAGTTAACTTAAAAAGAAAATGTAACTAAATGGCTTAGTTTATGTGATAACTGAAAAAAGGGTGCTTGACTGTTTTCATAGCATTTATGCAAACTTACATTTCTTAAAGGAGTACCTGAGTGTTCACAATAAACTTAAATTAAGAACTATATGTAGTTTAAGTTTGCCGTTGTTGATCCTTTTAACACATCTTTATCCTTCACCCTCCCTACACCTTCCTAGCTTATTCCTACCTTTTCTACAGTTTTTTCTTGTCTTATAGTGACATTTTGAAGTATCCTTCAAGTTAAAGGTAGTTTTTTTACAATGCAAAAAATAACTCAGAATTACATGGCCTGATGCAGGTTCAAACTACTGTGTTATTGCAACCTTCTTTCTGTGCCATGTACTATTTTCTTATTTTTATAACCTACTGTATGCCATCTGTTCACCCATTATAGTGAAAACCAAAAACAATTAATTTGTTCTAAACTAACCTTATTAAAGAAGAAAATCCAAATAAACCCCCAAATGAAGAAGGCATGAAAGTTGCACCTCTGCTATAAAATGAAAGAGATATAATTAAACATGCTGAGGATTTTGCAGGTCTTTGTTCACAAGAAACCTTGAGTATTTAACAAGTTCAACAGTAAGCAAAAGATTTGATTTCAAGGTCAAAGAAAAATACTTAATGCAAACATATAATACCTTGTGAAGCTTTACTATTGTTGTTACATGCAACAAAGTTTGCATTGTTGTTGTTAACAACCATACTCAAGCCTTTCCCTCATTGAATAACTATGAAACTTCTAACAGGTTCAACTTGATATCTTGATTTTAAAAATTCTTGATTTTAAAAATTCTTCATTTTCATGAAAATTCCAGATCCATGTCCGTATCTGAGTGACTGTTCACCTCCCCCTCCCCTAAACCAAAATTAACCCTAACTTGTTATCAGTTACTTGTTGTTGGTTTGGGTTGTTGTATTATGATGGCTACAATAACTGTGATTTTCCCTTCAAAATAATTCAGATTTGTAATTGCAAGCTCAAGAACTTGCAGTTGTATCTGTTGAGGTTCAATTTTATCCTTGGCTCAAGTTTTATTTTCCTTTGTTTCAAAACCATTATCATACATTACAATACCCAAAAACAAAAGAAAGTAAAATTTGAACCAAGAATAAAATTGAACCACAACATATCCATCTTAGTGTCTAAAGGCCTCCATTGTTTATCCTGTAATTGTATCTACAAAGTAATATCAATAAATAAATATAATAAATTGTTTCATACATTCTATCAGGGTCATCAGACTCACTGCTGTCATCAACACCACTGGCACTACTGACATCACTCTCGCCATCATCATCATCTTCACCAAAGGATGATGACGCAAACAAACCTCTTATATGTTTTGGTCTTAGCTGAAAAATAATTGAGTGTAGTAGCATAGAAACTTCAGTTTACTACATTACCCTTGACCCTTTACACCCTAACATCAGTATTCATATTCTCCATACTGTTCTCTTTACATTTCCTACGGTGCTGATAAGGAGAACTTGTTTAACAATCACGAGCTTCTAAAAGTGGTGTTCATTTCCTTTATTCGACTGACCTTCACATTTGATTCTAAGGTAACACTGTAAGGAGAAACTAGAAGCCAGTAACTCTTAGAAGTCAAAGGGTTAAATTGAAAGATTGCTTTAGTTACTTATTTCTGGTTTTGATGCAAAATAAACAGAAGAAAATAGAACAAGTTAACACAAAGCAGCTACTGATGACTGAACAAACTGTAAGAAAACTGCAAAATGATATTGTGTCAACTCACTTGATATGAAAGTTAATTCATAACCCTTTCACTCCTAAGATTTTGTTAGTAATTCTCTTAATGTCTACCATACAATTCTCATGATTTAAGTTTGGAGAATTTTGTTTTGAATCAACTACTAATCAACTAGTTGATACTTTTCTTTATTTTAATCACTCGTCTGCTTGATGTTGTTTTATTAGGAGGAATTCTGTCTTGGTCACTTATAGGAGTTACAAGGTTAACAGCCACATACCATATCCTCTGTAATTTTATTGTTACTGTCCATTTCTCTTAGCTCTTCTTCTGTTCGCCGTCTCTCTATTTACAAGACAAATACAAGTACAGAGTAATTACAACTAAAAATCATCGTCTTTTTTAAGGTGTAAGGATACCTCCTTACTAATCTGTATTCTCTGATATTTAAACTAACTATTTAAACAGTAATAGCTTGCAATCTAATGCCAGGTAAAAAATGTCCTTGAAGACTGCATTTACTGTACCTGGGTGTTCCTTCAAGAATGCTTCTACCAAGTTGTTAATGATGTGGTTTTTGCTAATTCTTTCAACCTTTTTACGACACTAGCAAAAGAAAGACAGGGTGGGTTACAAGACAGTTCAATAAAAATTGTTAACTTAGTTCTGAAAACTGAAAATGGGTTGTTATGGAAAATTAATACCTGTAAAGATAAGTTTCTATTGAATTCATGCTGACATGCATACCATGTCGCCATACCCTGTAGGTCACAAAGTTATGAAGTAATACTTTCCGAGATCAAAGCTTGAGGAAAACTGTGAGCTTTGAGGAACAGATAAAATCCAGGGACAAATACATGAGCATATTTCTGTGCAAAATAGAGCCTATTGTTTTTCTTATCCTTCAAATATTTTGAAACGCACCTGAAAATATGTATACGAACAGCTTAATGTTTGCTGCTGGTTTAATTGGGGACCTGTATTATCCAGGAGCTATGTTACCTACTCCTCACAAAACGTTTGTGGGTTTTTTTTAACATCCCTTAAGGACCAGCATAGAGAAAATGCAGGAGATAAGATGATTAGAATGTCTAACCATACACACATGCCATGGCAAAGGCAACACATTCTTCTTCGTTATTTTAAGACCCTGAGTGACCTGCTCTGGGGCTCAAACCCTCAACTTCCCCTACAGCAACCTGATGCTCTGCAACATGTGCTCACTGTTAAAATGTTAAAAAGTCCTTCAATCAGGATCTTCTACAGGGTACCCTTCTGCACAACAACCCTTGAACAAGCTGTGACTTTTGAATATTCCATCACCATATTCATATGTGCAAACCACAGTCAGAATTAATATATAATTCCAGCCTTGATGTGAGTTGCAGAATGGTTAGATGTACTCACAGATGGAATATCACCAGTCAGGAGCAGTCCATTTACAGCAATGAACAAGCACAATGGATACCAGGCTGTCTAACTCCTTTAATTATTTAACCATTAAAACAATTCGAAAAAACTTTTACTCACAGTTGGACATTCATTGGAGCGATCCATCCATTGTGAATAACAAGCAGCACAGAATGAATGGATACATGGCTGTAAACTAAAGAAAGTCAGACATTTTGGTGAAAAGTTATCACAAGGCAGATATACCCCTTACTTATAAAAATCATATTTCTTTCAAATTTTATAACTTTGTCAAATCAATGTGTCTAAAATAGACTAATTATTATATTTTATAATAATTAACATTTATTAAAATGCATGTGTGCCAAGAAGATATTAAGCAAAGAACTTTATTCTGGGGTTGGAGCCTTCTAGCAAATAGAAAATCCATTAATTTTCTTAGTCAAGAGAGAACAACACATTATGCTAATGCTGCATGTATTGATACTCTTACCTCACACAATCATGAAAGATGTCCTACAAGAAAAAAAAGCAATTGTCAATCAACACATTCTAATATTTAGCATAAACACTAATAACTTCTTTCAATGGAATACCTCTTTCCAGTGTCATGAGGGAGGGGTCAACAACAATAAAAGTCTCTGATGAGGGGCTAACACTCAAAATGTCAGCTTTAAACCCTTGACAGAGGCCAATTTACATTATCAACTCAGTTTATAATACCAAATTACCCTGTTACTCTCTCCCACCAACACAGCACCACAGTTTCTTTGGAAACTTACCCTCTTTATTTAACAATTAATATATATAGTAGTTTAAGGAAGGGTCAAGAAAGGAACATTCAGTAAGGAAGACTGGTACAGAAGTAAAAATCTTCAGAAGTTGGCATATCTGCAAAACACTCAGCTGGCTACAAGAACAAAAACCTTTGCATGTGGAATGATAAAATCTTAATAACCTTACTTGGCATATACTACAAAGCAGAGTATCAGCAATGGAGTTATGAGGAAGAAACTCAGGTTTTTTGCTACTGGAAGCTCCCTCTTCACTTTCTTGATGCTTCCTTTTTGACACAGGTCCTTCATCTGTATCTCCAGCCTTAAATGTACATTTTAACTAACAGTTAACTGTAGATACTTGTGCTTTCAGACTGTTCCTACATGCAGATGTAAAATAATTTGCTAGTGTATTAATTTTTACAAGGACAAAATGACAAAGCCTAAAACAATTTTTCAATAGTGGCCTTGAATTATGTGTTTATCATTGATAGTGATTGTGGAGATTAATCAAAAACAGTAAATGTTTTTAAGGTGATAAAAGAAACATATATGGTGCAGTAATAATAATATTAAAAATAATAATAATAATAATAATAATGACTATGAAAATAATAATGATAATAATAATAATAATAATAATAAAATAATATTAATAATAATAGTAATAATAATTACAATAATAATGCAAATAATATTAATCTTAGTTTACCTCACTATGAGACCTTTTTTGAGAAACAAATGCTGCCTCACTTGGTTTGACATCTTCGTCCTCACAAACATCTTCCTCTACAGATGTATAATATCAAAAATGAATGAAGTCTTGTACTCTATCTTTAAGAAAAATATTTCTCATTAGACAACCTGAGCAACACTGTTACTTACCTGTATCGTTGTCATACTCCAAAGTGTTATCTAGTAATTCTGCTTCTTCTTTCAAAACCTTTAAATCTTGAAAAACAAATGCTATATCTAGAAAAATAGAGACATATATGGACACTTAACCCTTTCAATCGCAAGATTTGATTGTTAATTTTCCCCTCAAGCTGCTTTACATTTCCTTAAAAATTGATTACAAGAATTTGGTGAAAGATCAAGAAAACAACTTCCACCTGATAAAATTGAGTATTCTCATTACCTGTTTTTTGGATAATGTACGCCTGGATATCATATGGAAAGGTTTCATGTTACATGAATTTACCAATTTATTATCTATGCAGCAAAGCTACATGAGAGTCTTTTTTTGTATCTAGGAAAAAGCATTTACCACTTCCAGGGTGATCCTTTCGATGAACTATTTGTACTTGGTCATTGTGATTGATCTGTATTTTCTGTAAGAAAAACATCTCATTAATGGAAGACTAGGATTTGTAAAAAACAATAACAACAAACAAATGTACACACTTTAACTACATCATTACATTGAAGTGTCAAAATACATATTACTCAATGACAAGAAGCATACCCATAGAAAAACTGCAATTAGCCTAATTTGCACCAAGTAAGGTCCTCACAGAATAAGTAATCAAGGCTTGAATAGCAACTGAACCTTTGCTTCCAAGATGGGTATTACATATCACCTGAGTAGTGGCATAGAGGGTTCTTTGTTCCCAAAAATGGAAATTTAATACAGATAAAAACATTACCCACTGATATTCTAGGTATCTATGCTCAAAACTTTCAAGAAAAGCTGCTATAGCCAAATTGTGAAACCAAAACATAAGGTGATAGAGCTTTCTCTGTATACACTCCAAAGATTTGGAACACTTCCCTTGGATTTATGAAAATCTAGTACAGCTTTATCATTAAAGATAACACTCAAGACCTTCCCTCTTACTAAATTTACTAAGAGTAATTCTTCATTACATTTTTAATTTATTGGATTCTACTTTTAAGGTTTATAGCTAGTTTTATCATCTAAGTTTCTTAGAGTGAAGTTGTGGATTTAGAGATAATTTTGTAAAGCATCTCCAACAAGTAGTGGATGTGTGCAATATACAAATGAACTATTATTATTATTGTTACATACAAGACACACAAGGAATAAACAAATCATAACTTGTAGAAATGGGTGGTTAATTAGATGACCTATTATGAAGCCCTGAGGCAATGAATTCACCCAATTACAGACTTGAGAGAGACTTAAAATTCATAAGCTCCAAATTAAAAGTCCTGCACCCAAAACACCAAACCAAAATGTCCCATTTTAAATTTTTAACAGTTACATGGATACAGGACACAGTGATTTTAAAGTCATGAATTTTAATGTACTGATTACAAACTCTGGTAAGAAAAATATGACCAGATAGGTTGTACAAATCTAAAGCAATTCTCTACCAAGGTCTTAAAATTTGGAACTCTCTTCCTGTTTCAGTCACTCGTTTGTCAAATCTTTTTAGCTTTACAATGAAATTGCATGAGTTTTTACTGCACATTTGCAGCACTTATTCCCTTTTTAACTATTGTGTTGTAAGTCAGGTGGCCCTCCCCCATAAGCCCAGTGGCTACCTGGGTCTCCTCACTTTCTATAAATTATAATGCTGTAAAAAAATGTTGTATTGTTAAAAAGGCAAATAAATAAATGATGATGAATTGATGATAATGATAATATCAGACTGAGTGTATATAGAGGTTATGTATAAATTAGTTGGGTGTGTGGCTGCAGAGAGGGGTGAGGTGACAGGTTATTAATTCTGATTCAATTGATTAAACACAAAAGTCAAGGCTCCTGATTTCCACAGTCTCTTCTCTGCCCTCTTTCTTATTATGCGCAGGAAGACAGAGAACAAAGGACAATATGTCAGCATCATGACCTCCCATGTGGCAGAATTTACTACCAAAAATTTAACTGAATATAATGATATTCACCATAATTGATCTTCAAAGCTTATCTACATGTATTGTTTATTGGTTATGCACCAACCCTTTAACCTCTGAGAGTGACTATTGTATAACCCCTATCACACAGTGGTCATGAGAATAAAGGAAATGATCACCAACTAAATATTCTCTTGATCTAAACAAATTCTCCTTGTCAGCAAACATACTGATGTTACATGTACCTTCCAACTTCTAGTAAAGCTATTTGAGATACCAAGGGAATTTTAAAGGTTTTTGTTTATCTGATTGATTATCTGGCTGTTCATCATGATCTGTCTATTTCCCAGACTGTATGTACAATGAGTGGAAGCGCAGTGGCCTCATGGTTAGTCAACTCGACTCTGGGTCAAGTGGTCCAGGTTCGAGCCCTGGCTGGGGTCATTGTGTTGTGTTCTTAGGCAAGACACTTTACTCTCATAGTGCTTCTCTTCACCCAGGTGTACAAATGGATACCAGCAAAATATGCTGAGGGTAACCCTGTGATGGATTAGCATCCCATCCAGGGGGGAGAAGCAATACTCCTAGCCACTTCATGCTATAGGAAACCAGAGTTAAGCGCCGGCCCCATGGGCCACTTGGGCCTGTATAAAGGCTTTACTTTATATGTACAGTATTTTTCAATATCTTTATCTCTTTATAATTTGAGTCACTTCCTGTAATTTTAAATTTTGCACACAGACTTCATTAAACTATTATTATATAATTACCTTCTCTTTGTCAATTTTCTTCCCATTCAACAATGATCCATTGGTACTAACAAGAAAACAAAAGCTGTAAGTTACTAACACAAGTTTTAACACATGCAATAGTGTATATAGATCATTGCTGTGAGAAGTTTGCATGGAATTAAAAGCAATTTACTGAGTCACCTAAAGTCTTGAAGCCAAACTGTGCCACCTGGATCTCTTGTAATAGTACAGTGATGACCAGATACAAATTTGCAGCCAGGAAAGCTGATATCACAATCTGTGAGATATAACATTAGATTCAGCTTTCTCTTGCAATGGGTGGGTACAGTGTATGTCATAGCTGTCACAGCTGATACTAACATTGAGTATTTGTCAAGCAAAGTTGTAAATAGAGGTTCTGCAGTTTATGACGGCTATGACAGGAGGCTTCTCACAATGCAAACTATTTTCTACGTAAGATCTCTGTGTAGTCCCTTACTGTTCTTAAACAAAGGCTGAGCATTACTCTTAAAGTGAACTTTTGTTTCGTCACTGTTTCTTTCATCAAGAAACTGCATGCATAAGGAAGTATGGAGTAAATTACAATGTTTATGAAAATCTTGCCATCTTTTGTTATTGCATTCGAACACTTTGATCGAATTAATTTATGAGAAATTTTTAATTGGTCATTTAGTTCACCATGATTGGAATGCTAGAGCTGAATATTGCTGTGTATTGAATAAACTCACATTCAACAAAACCAAACCAAAACATATTAAAAAGAAATCTTTTGGGTTTCATCGCCATTTTTCCCTTATTAAATACAAGTACGTATTCCATTTATCTCTAAGTCATCCTTGGAAAGTGATCTGCCTAAAGCTGCATGTTAACCATATAATATACAGAATAAAGAACCTAACTAGCTGATCGATTTCCCGTGTATACATTATATTAAAGGGTGAAATAATCATCTTTGACATTCGATTGCCTTTTGTACCCTGTTCTCCTACCTTCTTTCCTGCCCAGTGTGATCTGCTCTCTATCAATAAGGACGGGAGGTTTGCTGTCATGGGTGAAAATAACTTGTGCCCAATGGCGACCTTCTTCAAATTTCGACGCCATCTTGTGTAAACTGATGTGAATGTGTGAACTAGGTTCGAGGCCGTGTCACGCTTTCTTTGAGAGTAATCTGGGACCGATCAAGAACAACATGGCGGCCAACATGGCGATTTGTCACATTAAGAAGAATCTAACAGCTTTGAGGCAATATCCTCGCGTAGCTTTGAACAACATAAGAGATTTACCTGAAGCATTCAAAGCGGTAGGTACTTTTCTATAGCTGGAAATAGAATCTTTTAGAATACTGTAGTATTACAAAATGATCAGACACGACATACTAGCCCACATGTCCGTCCTGGGTGAAATAAAAAGCACTTGCCGCTTCAAGAGTAGTATAGTACATATCATGGTTGTGTCAGGTGATCGATGTACAATATTCGTGTAGCACCTCTGCGCAGCTTGCACCCTTAGGCAACATTTTCAAGACCTCTGTCAGAATGCTCTCTACATGGACTTCTCATGCAGCCACAAAATATCCAATTTTAATTAACCCCTTAATCCCAAAGAGTGACTAGCATCACAAACTAAGGTCACGAGAAAAAGAGAAACGATCACCAACTAAAGAAGCTCTTGATTGTTGAAAAATTTTCCTAGACAGCGCCATTGGAAATCTACGGAGAACACTATAAGAATTTGTATATTGAACTTAGGATGCATTACTAATTTCTCCTTTCTTGTACATGCAAACATATTCAATCAAACAGCAACACCGTAAAGGACGTGGTAGAGGATCTGGACGTGGAAAGACTTCTGGACGTGGCCACAAAGGACAGGGTCAACGAAATACAAAACCTAGGCTTGGATTTGAAGGAGGCCAAACACCTCTCTATCTTCGTGTCCCAAAGCATGGCTTCAAAAACATGTACGTGTAAACATTGTATATTTCCAAAATAGAGGTTAAATGATTTTTGGGAATTGCAGTGAGAGATTTTTTTGCTTAATTAAGCTTTTGACCCCCTAAGAGTGACTAGCATCTACTTTCTACAGTACATACAACATCACCCCTGAATTAAACAGAAAGGTCATGAGAATAAAGGAAATGATCAACAACTAAAAGTGTTCTTAATAGCTAAACAAATTCTCCTTGTCAGCACCTTAGGAAATGTATAGGGAACAGTATTGAGAATATGCATACTGATGTTAGGGTGTATAGGGCTACAGAATTTGGTGATCTTCTACACAAAATGTCAGCAAGCAGAATTTATTACTTCATCAACTCACAAAGATATGAGGGAAGTTCTCCTTTTATGTATTTTTTTTATCCACATTGTAGCTTCTAAACAGCTGTGATATGGGTAGATGAGGTAACAAGAATTTCATAGAAAACCCTTCTTCTGATAATAGTGAATGATATAATTGAAAATCTAGCATTGTATAACATCAGATCTTTGAAAGATAGGCACAAAGAACAATGTCATAAATTAACTCTTTAACTCAGTCATATCTAATACTGTGCCTAAACTCCATCATCTGCTACTACCCAAGAACATTCAATTTCATAGGTAGATACAGCTTAGAAACCAGAATAATTTTATGTTACCAAAAAAGTGCACTAATTGTTTCACAAGCACATTTATTCCATCCATGTCCAATTGCTACAATGTTTATACAAAGTTTTTTATGTTCGTTTTATACTTCATGGAATTTTTATGTTATAACTTGAACTTTTTATAAATTTCATGCAATTCAGTCTTAAGAAGATGCAAATTTTGAATATTTTGATACACTATCTATCTATCTATCTATCTATCTATCTATCTATCTATCGACCAATCTATCAATCTGTCTATATAAAGGTATATATCTAAGTATTTATCTGTCTAGTATCTAAGTATATATCTCTTGATTACCAAAATGTTATTTACATCAAATCACAAGTGACATGTGGAAAAATGACTTCACTGTATGCTTTGGTATCATGCTTTAAAAGAGGGAGAATTTGTAATATTTCATTTATTTAATATCTATCTGTTAACCCTTTAACTCCAAGAAGTGATTAACCTGTAGCTTCTCCCTACAATATCTATACATTATTTAGCAAACAGCTGATGAGAATACTCAAACTTATGAGTTTAAGTTGTTATCTTGATCTAGCACCAAATTCTCATGACTAATTAACAACGAAATGTGCAGCAGCTAGTGGGGGGAATTAGATATTTGAAATTAAAGTTAATTTATTGTCTTATTGTCCTATTTTGACTTTCAGATACAAAATGCATTATAGACCTCTGAACTTAAACCGCCTTCAGTTCTTCATAGACAGTGGCCGTCTAAACCCCAATGCACCCATTACCATGTATCATCTTTGGAGATCAGGAGTTACTGGAGGAAGAATAAAGGATGGGGTTGTATTGCTGGGAGGGGTAAGTAGTTCAGCTGCTCTACTTTTATGAAAATGATGCATTTTGATTGCAGCAGGATTAGTAGAATTTTCTTTAGACAAGTGATGCCTTCCTATTTCCTATCTCAAGAATCTATTTCACTCTCCAAGAATTATAATCGGTACGTTTTTGATCAGAGTTTAAAGTGCAATTAAGTGAGAGCTAGTTAGACATTTGAATGCTGTAAAGGAACTGCAAGGAAATAAAAGTACTTTTTGACACACAACTTGTTCTTATCTGGCAGGGTACAACTTGGTTCCAAGCTAAAGTTGATATCGAGGTTAGCAAAGCATCAAAAACTGCTATAAAAGCCATTGAACGACAGGGTGGAAAAATCACATGTGCTTATTACAACAAACTGGGCCTTCGTTTGTTACTTAAACCAGAAAAGTTTGAAGGGAAAAGGATTCCAAGAAGAGCTCGTCCTAATACAAAGTTAATGGAATATTACACAAGTGTTGAGAACAGAGGATACCTGGCAGATCCTGATGAACTTGAAAAGGCCAGGCAACTTACTTACAAACTTGAAAATGAAGTGGATTAAAGCAGAATGTACTAACCGTACTTGTAGTGTTGTATTAATAAGGTCTGTAAACAAGGTTTTACAATATCAAATAATGTGTGAACACTAGTTACATGCATGTAAATAATAAATAGAGTTCTCTAACACATATCCCATATGGCCTGTTGGTGCTTTACAGTAAAATTTGATATTGACTTCCCCACTCTGTCACTGTGTGGAATTTTCAAATACAGATTCTGTGAGGCATTAGCGGAAGTGTGATAAGTACTTTTTGATTGAGGGTTGTGAACCAAAACCATAGTGAACAAAATGTCTAATTAGACCAAGAGCAAATATCACCAATAAATACCAATGGGATTTCAGAGTTATTCACATAACTAGAGGGAGGTATGCAGGAAAACACAAGTGACTTAGTTTTAGTTTGTATCTGATTGGTTGAGATTGTGGTGCAAGTACTCTAGAGCAATCTTTGAGAAAAGTTGGGAAAAACCAATGTACTCCTGTCAATTACTTTGGACATACACTTGAAAGTTGCTGCAAGATCTGATGGAAGAACACTACCTGGATGTGTGCCAGTGTTGCTTGAAGCTTTTGTACTCCTTGTGGATAAAGTGCCATAGGCTTTCCTTTCTTCTTTCCTTTGTTTCATTTTTACTGCATTTCTTCACTGGTCTCATACTTTGCTTCATCTAAGTGGCCTTAATTTTTTCTCTTTCTTTATTATTAGGGAACATGTAAGAGCAGGCATGAGGCACAAGGCAAGGGTGATCAAATCTAAGCTGATTGGCCATGGGCATCTCTCCTCCCCCTTTATTTTCCTTTAAAAGAGAAGGAATTCTATGTGATTTGAATTTACAGCACCATATTTTTAGAAAACTCTCAGTGAGCGGGAGATAAGGCCACAACGTGGAACCAGAAGTTTATCACCATGTCGTTTTTTTTCTGGTTTTGAAACTGACCAAGCAACAAATCATAGAGTACTGGTACATGTACATATATGATCCTGATGTCATTTCATTCCCTTTGGTTCACAACTTGATGATCAACAAGATGATGTGTTTAACTCTGTTTTTAATTGTATTCTACTGTCCTTCTAACTGATATTAAATCAAACAAGAAAATCAACATTTTTGTTCTTCATGGGTTTAATTTGGTAGAATACATTTGTTGGTTATGTCTGGACATTTTACTTCTTGGATCATTACAATCTTGAATACTCTAGACTCTGTAACCTTTTCCAGGTTTTCACTTTGTAAACAGGGCAAGTGGGAACTACTCTCGTTTTTTGTTCTGCACTGCTATCATTTTGTGTTTGCCACACATCCTATTTGTCACACCCTCCATTATCTTAATTAAGGCATGAAACAGGCCATGATCTCTGCAGCTTCTTTACTTAACTATTGTGCATGCCATAATGTCACTTATTAACCAACTGCACATAGTAGAGTAAAGAAAACATGCAAATAGAGCACAAATATCCTGTGATATTTTAAAGTTATTTGGACTGTTGTTTGTTTTGTATTGTAAAAAAATCTGTTAATTTAGTCAGCTGCATGCACTTTGCTTTTCCCGCCTTATGAGAAATGAACAGAGAGATTTAACAGGAAAAAAAGCAGATGGATGATAAATAACTTATGAGATGTTTTGGTGAGTATTGCTGAGTATTTTTATGAGTTGTGCTGTATTTTGATGAGCCCATAGGGCTAGTCAAAATACAATCAATGAGTAAAAATACTCAGCGATGCTACACACCAAAATGTCTAATAAGATATATATACTCAATTGCTCACTCTTAATCATTTAGCAACCCTTTTTCCCTCCACCTACTGGAACACATAACTAAACTTTATACTTTATCTATGTGGGGGCTGTTAGTCACAACATATTTCAATTATAACAAAAATGCACCCTGTTGTAAAGATTTTTCATAGATTCAAAGATTTAGGAATAAAGCAAAAATAATCTTAAAATAATCGTATACAAATAACAGCAAATTTCAGTTAAGAACAAAATTAGTTAAGATGCAAAACTTTCTGGAATATTAATTAACAATTATCTGATGTGAATCAAAATCATCAGGCTAAGTAAATTGATTGATACTAGGCTACAGCAGGGGGGAGGGGTGAGAATGTCAAATCTACTCATAGATATGAACACAATGGTGTAGGGAATCTGACACGACTATCCTTCCATTGCTCAGAACAGCCATGGAGACTGGGGTACCCAAGCCTCCAATACCCTCTCCTTTTATCTCAAACTTGGTGTGAAACTTTCCACTCGAAATCTCAAGAAGCTGAACTCTGTGATTCAATTTATCACAGATCATCAGTCGTCCTGCCTTGTCAACTGATAAGAAACATGGGTCATTGAACTGCTTGTTTCCCACCCCTTTACTACCATAAGTGTTCAGTAACTTCCCTTCCCTATCAAATTTTTTGATACGATGGTCACCCCTGTCTGACACAAAAAAATGGTCCCTGTATTGAATACAATGACTGGGAGAGGTGAGCTGTCCCTCACCAATGGTACACAAAAGTTGTTCATCGGGAGAAAATATTTTGACTACTTTTTCATGGCAATCAGGAACAATAATGTTGCCATCACTGTCCACAGATAAACCACAAGGCTCTGCAGGACAGAGATCAGGACTAGAGTGGCCATAAAAATCGCTCAGGTACTCACCCTCCCCAGTGAACATTTGAATGAACTGGTTGCCACTTTCCCCCACTATAATGTTGTCATTTGTTCCAAAGGCTATCCCAGAAGGCATGCGAAATTCCCCCTGTTTATCACCCTCCCTACCAAAAGATCTTAAGTAAGTTCCATCACTACTGAATACCTGAACCCTATGGTTACCAGAATCAGTCACTGCAATTTCATCGCGTCCATTTACTGCCACTCCCAATGGCCCATTAAACATTCCTTCGGAGGAACCTTGTTCTCCAAAAGATGAGACGGGTCTGAACTGTCTGGATTTGGCTTTAACAGTAAAGGGACTTCCATGAACATGCTCACCATTGACTTTCACTGATATTGGTTTGCAATACCAACAATCAATACAATACATGTAACTTATCTCGTAGGTTCCATCTCTGTTATTTTGGATTCGTGTATCCAGCATTCTTGAAAAATATGAAGAGTCCTCAACATCCACAGTGACACAGTCACCCTCTTCATAACACTGCTCACCCTTCCTATTTCTCGTTGTCAGCACAAGATTTGCATCGAGCCCTCTGTAAAATTCAGATACGCCTCTTCCATTGACGCATGACAGGTGCGGTCTCGTCTTTGTGGGAAAATACTTAAAAGTACCAATGTTTTCATCGCTCAAACTATCGAGTAATTTTTTATTAATCGCGAAATCGTACTCCAAAAAAGGTACGCTGCTCGAAATAGCTGGGTCGTTGAGTTCATCAACTTGCTCCTTTGCTCTTTGTTGTAACTTTTGATCGATATATGGGTTGGGCCGTATGATTTCGACATCTGGGCTCTGTTTCAAAAGCGTTTCTGCTATTTCAATCGCTGTTTCGGTGATTGTCAACTCATTTTCGCTTATTCCAACTTCAAGACGCTGGAGCGACTCTTCCGCCTGTTTTTTCACTTTTTGGATCATCTCCTTTTTTTTCGCTTCGATGACTGATATCATTTTATCAGCAGATTCCTGAACGCTCCTCTCTACAAAGGCAGCGTTTCCATAAATCTGAAAGACGTTCTCGTCAAAATGGCTCCTTTTACTCTTTATTTTCTGTAATCTTTCTTTCTCAGTCTCAATCAAAGACTTCAATGCTATTCTGCGTTCATTTGCAACTTCTTCTAGAAGCGACTTCGCGTGGCCGTCATGATCTATCAAGGCACAAGCGTTGCAAATGGCGGCTTTACAGATCTCACAAAAGAGTTCGAGCTCTTTTTTTTCGTGTCCAAGCTTTGGACAAAATATTGATCGCTTCAAAACTTCACTGATATCATGATCTTTAAATTCTTTGAGGGCCAACACGCGGTGCTCTTTATTAGCTCGGATAATGTTATGTGCGGAAACACACTCGTCACACCAGAAAGAACAACAATAGAAACAGTATGAACTTTGAGCGCTTCTCTCCTCGCAATTTCCACATCTTACTCCTAAAGTATCACATTCTTTGATAGCCAGCACATCTAGCAAGCTGCTAATACGAAAGTTCGTGGGCAACTCTTCGAAGTTTCTACTTTTTGGAACTGCACTCTCTCTTCGGCAATCTGGGCATGTGATGATATCATGACGGCCACTCGTTCCTACAATATTCTTCAAGCAACGAAGGCAGAAACTGTGCAAACAGGGGAGCTGTTTTGGATCACTCAATGTATTCATACACACAGAACAGGATACTTCTTTGTACAGATTGTCTAGCGAGGTTCTTACATCCATGGTCGAAAATTCACCGATTACCTTGAAGTACAAACAAAGCTGACACGAGGATTCTAATATAAGTTGACATGCACATAATCGATGACCTATTAAGGATTTCATTACCTTTGTTTGTTTGGTTTTTTTTTTGAAGGTATGTCATGCAATGCCCCTAAATTGTGTGCTCTTTGTGTCCAGTTAACAGGTTAAGATCATTTAGGAGTGGTACATTTCACTGCCTCTGTATCTTCTCAACTCCAATGGGAGAAAATCGCGAGAAACTAGCAACAGTCGAACATGTATTAAGCCGTCACCCGGTCACCGCACTCGGCGGGCTGACCGCTTAAGGAGGCTCCACAGGGTTTTTGCTCAATGTTAGTGCGCGCGCCAGCGTAATGTTTTTCTAGAAAATTTTTATGTTTTCGCTTTTCAAGGTCACAAAAGCCGTCAATAGGCGATGGGTAAGGTTCGCACTAACGTTTTCTGCAGTAAATATAATCAAATTGATGATTTGTTTTTGCCTTTGATTTTCTTCAATTTGCTTCAGTGAAATCTCTCAAAATTCTCATAATTTGTAAACATTGTCCTGCCGATCATTTTAAAGCCGAAAGAAAGGGATTAAAAGGGCAGTTTCCTCGCTATTTGCAATTTCGTGTTTTATATCTCTATCACAAATCTGGTCTTTTGAATTTTTTTCATGAACAGGCACTAGGAGGGGCAAAAATATGTTTAACGGTCCAACAAATCTTAGGAAATTCCACATAAAGGAGACGCGATAAATATTGCTCGAAAGATCCGTATTTTCTTTGCCGCAAAACAGTACGTAATGGAATAGAACTTCGCTAAGATCTTTATATTGACATGCGTAAACTTTCGGTTCTGTCGCCATTTGGTAATCTTTCCCACAGTGTTTTCTTTTCGGTTGACCTCTTTCTCAGGTGCAGAAGGCCTATGAATATTACGGGTGCAGTTGCTGGAAAGCCTAGAATCCATCACATAAAAGCTGAGTTGTGTTTTAATGTGTTAGCACACCTCTTCAGATAATAATCGCATGCGATCATGTTTGTTTTGCATCGCTCGTGCTATGTTCGCACCCATATTTCGCGCGGTCAAAAAACCTTAAGGGGCCTCCGTAATACAGTTTGGCCGCTGATACGGGCTCCAAAGAAGAGAAATATTTTAAATATCGATAAAAATGGCTATTTTATGCCTTAATTGACCATTTAATGTACCAAAGCTCTCGAAAATACTGCTTAAATTGATTTTGTGACATGAAAATTGATTAAATTTTACTTGAGAGATTGTTCTTCGTTTTATTTGAGTTGTTCACTTCAAGTGACTGTTCAACACAGGTGGACGACAATGCAAAAAGGCTGTTGGGACTTAGAAAAGGGTAACTGCTACCGCTTAAACACACCAATCGGGAGGGAACGTCTTAAAAGGCTGGCAGAGATAAACCAGAACTTCGAGATTAAAACTAAACTAGACCACAAATTATTTTAAATTTTCATGCATACGCGATTAGCACTGTAAAGTTCTAGACGCTCGTGTAGTAATTTCTCCAAAGTTGGTAAAATTTATTGCAAGAAAGAAACGTCATGGAAAGCCGAGCAAGTTCGACCTGATGATGATGATAATGATGAGTTTTCTTCAGAAATAACTTCTTTCCATTATCAAACAGAAATTTCGAACAAGCATTCTCAAGGTGCTATAAAGAGCTATACACTTGAAAATTTAAGACAACTGTGTTTGAAATAACTCGATTTCAGGTCTATTAAATCAAGTAATTAATGTCTAATCTGCCTGAAAGGATAATGTTTTGTAATTAAGTTCTGAGACAAACGCTGGAAGCTGCCAGATATGTTTATAGGTTTACTTCTTAGTGACCAAGTTTGACCAAACCGTCACCAAAAATGTGATATCATAAAATACCCGGAGTGTCAAAGAGAAAGTGAGGTCCCAGAAAGTGGAAATCTCCAAGATTTACCGTCTAACTTTCGCATCGTCAGCATGTTAGACTTGAAGGCCATCAAAGAATGCAATACTACTGATGTAAAATGTGGAAATTGCGAAAAAAGAAGCGCGTAAAGTTGGTACTGTTTCGGATGTTGGACACTGAGTTGCAAAAAACACCGCGTTTTGGCAATTAAAGAACTTCGAAGAAAAAGACTTTGAAGACGTTTTAAAGCGACCAGCATTCTGTTCCAAGCATGGCTTCAAAAACATGTATGCGTAAAAATTATATATTTCCAAAATAGAGGTTAAAATTTTTTGGAATTGCAGTGAGAGATTTTTTTGCGTAATTATGCCTTTGACCCCCTAAGAGTGACTAGCATCTTCTTTCTACAGTACTTACAATGGACATGAAGGTCCTGAGAATAAAGGAAATGATCAACAACTAAAAACGTTCTTAATCGCTAAAAAATTCTCCTCGTCAGCACCTTAGGAAATGTATAGGGAACAGTATTGAGAATATGCATACAGATCTCAGGATGTATAGGGCTACAGAATTCAGTGATCTTCTACACAAAATGTCAGCAAGCAGAATTATTACTTTATCACCTTTCAAAGATATGAAGGAAGTTCTCCTTTTAAGTATTTTTTATCCATATCGTAACTTCCAAACAGCTGTGATGTGGGTAGATAAGGTAGCAAGAATTTCATAGAAAACCCTTCTTCTGATAATAGTGAATGATATAACTGAAAATCTAGCATAGTACAGCAGCAGATCTTTGAAAGACAGGCACAGAGAACAGTGTTATAAATTAACTCTTTGACTGAGTTATATCTGATACTGTGCATAGACTCCATCATCAGCTACCACCCAAGAACATTCAATTTCATTCATAGATATGGTTTTAATAACCAGAACAATTTTATGTTGCCAAAAAAGTGCACTTATTGTTGCACAAGCACATATATTCCATCCATTTCCAATTGCTATAATGTTTATACATAGTTTTTAATAATCATTTTATGTTACATGGAATTTTTATTTTATAACTTGAACTTTTCATAAATTTCATGCAATTCAGTCTTAAGAGGATGCAAATTTTGAATATTTTATTACACTATCTAACTATGTATCAACTGATTGATCTATCTATCTAGGTATCTATCGATCTATCTGTATGTATCTAAGTATTTATCTATCTGGTATCTAGCTATCCATCTTTTGATTACCAAAATAGTATTTACATCTAATCACAAGTGATAGGTGGAAAAATGACTTCACTGCATGCTTTGATATCATGCTTTAAATGAGGGAGAATTTGTAGTATTTCATTTATTTAATATCTATCCTTTAACCCTTTAACTCCCAGAAGTGATTAGCCTGTAGCATCTCCCTACAATATTTACACATTATTTAGCAAACAGCTGATGAGAATACTCAAACTTATCATGTTAAGTTGTTATCTTGATCTAACACCAAATTCTCATTACTATTTAGCACGGAAATGTGTAGCAGCTACATGTAGTGGGGGAATTAGATATATGAGATTAAAGTTAATTAATTATCTTTCTCCTATTTTGACTTTCAGATACAAAATGCATTATAGACCTCTGAACTTAAACTGCCTTCAGTTCTTTATAGATAGTGGCTGTCTAAACCCCAATGCTCCCATTACCATGTATCATCTTTGGAGATCAGGAGTTACTGGAGGAAGAATAAAGGATGGGGTTGTATTGTTGGGAGGGGTAAGTAGTTCAGCTGCTCTACTTTTATGAAAATGATGCATTTTGATTGCAGCAGGATTAATAGAATTTTCTTTAGACAAGTGATGCCTTCCTCTCTCTATCTCAAGAATCTTGCTCACCCTCCAAGAATTATAATTGGTACATTTTTAACTAGAGCTTAAAGTGCCATTAAGTGAGAGCTAGTAAGATATTTGAATGCTGCAAAGGAAATGCAAGGAAATGCAAGGAAATAAAAGTACTTTTTGACACATAACTTGTTTCAACTGGCAGGGTACAACTTGGTTCCAAGCTAAAGTTGATATCGAGGTTAGCAAAGCATCAAAAACTGCTATAAAAGCCATTGAATGACAGGGTGGAAAAATCACATGTGCTTATTACAACAAACTGGGCCTTCGTTTGTTACTTAAACCAGAAAAGTTTGAAGGGAAAAGGATTCCAAGAAGAGCTCGTCCTAATACAAAGTTAATGGAATATTACACGAGTGTTGAGAACAGAGGATACCTGGCGGATCCTGATGAACTTGAAAAGGCCAGGCAACTTACTTACAAACTTGAAAATGAAGTGGATTAATGCAGAATGTACTTACCATACTTGTAGTACAGCGTTAATAAGGTCTATTAACAAGGTTTTACAATATCAAATAATATGTGAAGACCAGTTACATGCATGTAAATAATAAATAGAGTTCTCTAACACATATCCCATATGGCCTGTAGGTGCTTTACAGTAAAATTTGATATTGACTTCCCATCTCTGTCACTGTGTGGAATTTTCAAATACAGATTCAGGGAGGCATTAGCATTAGCGTGATAAGTACTTTTGATCGAGGGTTGTGAACTGAAACCATTGTGAACAAAATGTCTAATTAGACCAAAAGCAAATATCACAAGCTACCAATGGGATTTCAAAGTTATTCAAATAACTAGCAGGAGGTATGCAGGAAAACACAAGAGACTTTGTTTTAGTTTGTATCTGATTGGTTGTGATTGTGGTGCAAGTACTCTAGAGCAATCTTTAAGAAAAGTGGGGAAAAACCAATGTACTCCTGTCGATTACTTTGGACACTCACTTGAAAATTTCTTAAAGATCTGATGACAGAACACTACCTGGATACTCATACTTTGCTTCATCCAAGTGGCCTTAATTTTTCCTCTTTCTTTATTATTTGGGAACACGTAAGAGCAGGCATGAGACACAAGACAAGGGAAATCAAATCTAAGCTGATTGGCCATGGGCATCTCTGCTCACCCTTTATTTTCCTTTAAAAGAAAAGGACTTCAATGTGATTTGAATTTACAGGACCATATTTTTAGAAAACTCTTAGGGAGTGGAAGATAAGGCCACAACGTGGAACCAGAAGTTTATCACCATGTTATTTTGTTCTGGTTTTGAAAATGACCAAGCAACAAATCATAGAGTACATGTACATGTATAATGTCATTTCATTTCCTTTGGTTCACAACTTGGTGATTAACAGGATGATGTGTTTCACTCGGTTTTCGATTGTATTCTACTGTCCTTCTAACTGATATTAAATCGAACAAGAAAATCAGCATTTTTGTTCTTCACAGGTTTTATTTGTTAGAGTACATTTGTTGGTTTTGTGTGGACATTTAACTTCTCTGATTGTTACAATCTTGAATACTCTAACCTCTGTAACCTGTTCCAGGTTTTCACTTTATAAACAGGGTAAACGGGAACTACTCTCTGTTTTTTATTCTGCATTGCTATCATGTCATGTTTGCCACACATACTATTTGTCACACCCTCCATTATCTTAATGAAGGCATAGAACAGGCTATGATATCTGCAGCTACTTTACTTAACTATTGTGCATACTATAATGTCACTAATTATCCAACTGCACAAAGTAGAGTACAAATAACACATGAATAGACTACAAATATCCTGCGATATTGTAGTTATTTGGACTGTTGATTATTTTGTACTGTAAAAAAACCTGTCTAACCAGTCAGCTGGGCACACTATGCTTCTCTATCTGCTTTGCTTTTCTTGCTTTGTGAGAAATGGACAGAAGACAAGCAGTAGGATAATAAATAACTTATTAGATTTTTTGTTGTGTAGTATTACTGAGTATTTTTATGAGTTGTGCTGTATTTTGATGAGCCTGTAGGGAACTCAAAATAAAATCAACAAGTAGGGCTGGTCAAAATACAATCAATGAGTAAAAATACTCAGCAATACTACACACCAAAATGTCTAATAAGATATATATACTCAATTGTTCATTCTAAATCATTTAGCAGCCCCTTTTTTTCTCCACTTACTGTATAACTCTAAACTTTATACTGTATCTATATGGGGGCTGTTAGTCACAATATAATTCAATTATAACAAAAATGCACCCAGTTGTAAAGATTTATCATAAACAGATTTGGGAAATAAAGTAAAAGTAATCCAAAAAATAATCATATGCAAGCAACAGCTGATTTCAGTTAAGAACAACTATCATCAGCAAAACCCTTTTGTGGGTAGCTGCAAAATTTTCTTGAAGATTAATTAACAATTATCTAATGTGAATCAAAATCATCAAGGTAAGTAAATTGATTGATGTTAGGCTACAGCAGGGGAGGGGGGGATGTCAAATCTACTCGAAGATATGAACACAGTGGTGCAGGACATCTGACACGACTATCCTTCCATTGCTTAGAACAGCCATGGAGACTGGGTTACCCAAGCCTCCAATATCCTTTCCTTTTACCTCAAACTTGGTGTGAAACTTTCCACTCGGAATATCAAGGAGTTGAATTCTGTGATTTAATTTATCACAAATCATCAGGTGTCCAACCTTGTCAACTGATAAGCAACATGGGTCATTGAACTGCTTGTTTCCTACCCCTTTACTACCAAATTTCTTCAGAAACTTCCCTTCCTTATCAAACATTTTGATACCATGGTCACCCCTGTCTGACACAAAAAAAATATTATTGTTTTGAATACAGTGAATGGGAAAGGTAAGGCGACCCCCACCAATTGTTCGCAAAAGCTGTCCACCAGGAGAGAATATCTTAATTAGTTTGTTTTGGCAGTCAGGAACAATGATGTTACCATCACTGTCTACAGATAAGCCAGGAGACTTTGTTGAACTAGAGTTGCTACAAAAATGGCTCAGGTACTTACCCTCCCCATTGAAAATTTGAATAAACTGGTTACCACTTTCCCCCACAATAATGTTGTCATTTGTACCAAAGGCTATCCCAGAGGGTGTTTGAAATTGTCCCTGTCTATTTCCCTCTTCACCAAATGATCGTAAGTAAGTTCCATCACTACTAAATACCTGAACCCTATGGTTACCAGAATCAGACACTGCAATTTCATCTCGTTCATTCACTGCCACTCCACTTGGCCCATTAAACATTCCTTTTGAGGAACCTTGTTGTCCAAAAGACAAGACGGGTCTGAACTCTCTGTGTTTGGCTTCAACAGTAAATGGACTTCCATGAACATGTTCACCATTGATTTTCACTGATACAGGTCTGGTGTACCAGTTTTTACTGAAATAGGTAATCTTGTAGGTTCCATCTCTGTTATTTTGGACCCGTGTCTCAATTTCTCTTGCAAAAATTGAAGCTTCCTCTGTATCCACGGTCACAGAGTCACCCTCTTCATAACATTGTTCACCCTTTCCGTTTTTCGTTGTCACCAATATGTTTGCCTCAAGCCCTATGCAAAATTCAGAGATGCCTCTTCCACTGACGCATGACAGATGTGGTCTCGTCATGGTGGGAAAATACTTAAAAGTGCCAATGTTTTCATTGTTCATACTTTCGAAGAACTTCTGATTTTTCACGAAATCGTACCCCAAAAAGGATTCACAGCTAGAAGAAGCTGGGTCGTTAAGTTCATCAACTTGCTCATCCAGCTTCTGTTCTAACATTTGATCGATAAATTTGTTGGGCCGTATGATTTCAGCATCTGGGCTCTGTTTCAAAAGCGTTTCCGCCATTTCAAGCGCTGTTTCGGTGGTTTTCATCTCTCGCTCATTTTCGCTTCTTTCAACCTCAAGACGCTGGAGAGACTCATTCGCCTGTTTTTTCACTTCTTCGATCATCTCCTTTTTTTTCGCTTCGATGACTGATTTAATTTTATCAGCAAATTGCTGCACGCCCCTTTCTACATATGCAGCGTTTTCTCGAATCTTGAGCACTTTTTCGTCAAAACTGGTAATTTTTCTCTTCATCGTCTGTAATCTTTCTTTCTCAGTCTCAATCGAAGACTTCAACACTACTCTGCGTTCATTTGCAACTTCTTCCAAAAGTGTCTTCGCGTGACCGTCGTGATCTATCAAGGCACAAGCGTTGCAAATGGCGGCTTTACAGATCTTACAAAAGAATTCCAGCTCTCTCTTTTCGTGTCCAGATCTTGGACAAAACACTGATCGCTTCAGAACTTCACTAATGTCTTGATCCTCAAAGTCTTTGAGGGCCAACACGCGGTGTTCTTTATTAGCTCGGATAATGTTATGCGCGGAGACACACTCGTCACACCAGAAAGCACAACAATGAAAACAGTATGAACTTTGGGCGCTTCTCTCCTCACAATTTCCGCATTTCACTCCTGAAGTATCACATTCTTTGATAGCCAGCACATCTAGCAAGCTGTTGATACGAAAGTTGGTAGGCAATTTTTCGAGGTTTCCACTTTCTGGGACTTCACATTCTCTTCGGCAATCAGGGCATTTTATGATATCACGGCGGCCACTCGTTCGTAGAATATTCTTTAGGCAACGAAGACAGAAACTGTGTAAACAGGGGAGCTGTTTCGGATCATCAAATGTATTCATACACACAGAACAAGATACTTCTTCGTACAGATTATCTAGCAAGGTTCTCACATCCATGGTCAAGAATTCAATGGATTACCTTGAAGCGCAAACTGAAGCCGACACCTGCATTCTAACATTGACTGATGTGGACATGACCTGATTAAAATTTAATTTCTTTGTGTGGAAATGCGATTTGAATGTATGTGTTGGTCGTCTTTTGTCTCTTTGAATTAAGTGTTCCTGAACCATTTCCTCGCAAACTCTTGGTTTCAGAACCTATTAATTCGTTCGAACCAAACAATTATAAAACAACAACCTAAAACGTCATGTTTTTAAGAATGACGTTTTAAAATGCTGACTAAAGACTCATTGAAAAAAGCGTTTTTAAAATTTCAGCAATATTTGCAGATCTCCCCCTCCTCAATGTTGCGTTATCTTTCATAACCCTGGCTAACTGATTCCAAATCGTCTCCGTAGAAAAACTATTTATTTCATAATGAATAAAGGGGGTAAGTTTCTAAAGAAACTGAGGTGTGGGAGAGTGTAACAGAGTAATTTTGTATTATCAACTGAGTTGATAACAATAAAATTACCCTATTTATTTTATATATATATTGAACGAACAACTGTGAAAATACATTGTTCGTCCAATCATGGAAACGAAAGACAGTCATCCGAAGGAAGGCAACAAATGGCTTCCAATCTTTGAAATGTGTCGATCAGTGAGAAAAAATATCAGTATGTATATATATATATGTATATGTATATATATAAAAAAAACATCATTTCATGGAAAGTTCTTGAACAATTTTTGTTCACTCGTTCTCTAACTCTAACTCGCGATTAAGAATCGTTTTGTGCTCACTTTCCATGGAATAATCTCTACATCATCATATGATTCCTTTACAACAAGGGATATTGCCATACAATATTTCAGACTGGAATTACTGTTAAGACAGCTTCCTTTGCTTGTTTGTCTTGACATCCTCGCAATTCAGGTATCCTTCTGACATTAAGACTATTCAGGAGGAGCTTCAGCCGGCGTGGAGCCCAGACGGAGGAGAGAGCATTTGAGCGTTAGGCGTTTAAGTTGGAACAGTATACTCCGGACTCCCTCCTCCCGTATGTGCGCCTGCCGCACAGCATAGAGGACACGTCATGTTATCATGATTTCGTTGAAGGTATGTCACGCAATGTATCTATATTGTGTTCTGTTAGTGCCTAGTTAAGTCAATTAAGAGTGGTACATTCCACTTCCTCTATATCCTTTCAACTCCAACGGGAGAAATCACGAGAAACCAGTTACTGTAGTTCTCTTAAAGGGCAGCCCTCTGTCCGTAAACTTTATTAGGAAGCACACCTATCGAAGGGAACGTCGAACTGAAAAAAAGCTAACACGTTTAGGAAAAGGCTGGCAGAGATAAAGCAGAACTTTCAGAAAAACTAAACAAGACGTTTTAACACTAGGAAGAGTTATTGCTCGAAAAATTTAAGCATAAGTGACTAATATTGTAAAGCTCTAGACGCTCATGTATGGGGAAAAACTTCCTCCAATGTTAGTACAATATATTATAATACTGTAGTTTCTTCATAAACAACCTCTTTCCATATAATCGAACAGAAATTTCGAACACGCGTTCTCGAGGTGCTATATAGAAGAGAGCTACAAACTTCAAAATTTAAGACAGCTGTATTTGAAATAACTCGATTTCAGGTCTATTAAAGTAAGTAATTAAATGGTTAATCTGCATGGATGGATTGTGTTTTGTAATTATGTTCTGAGCCAAACGCTGCAGGTTGCCAGATCTGTTTATAGGTCTACTTCTTAGTGACCAACCGTCAACCAAAATGTATTAATGCACGGTGACTGAGGCAAAACTCGTTCTCAACATAAATTTTCTTCTCACTACGTAAACGATGGGCTCTATTTGTACTACATCTGTTCCGAGAGGCAAGGACCAGAGAATAAATTCCCTTGTTTAGGATAATCCACAGTTCTGCATAGGGCATATTTCGTTACATGGCGTGTCTTAGCCAATCAAGAAAAATAAGATTGCATGTTCCATGTCACATGGATATTTTGACTTAAATTTCAGGCTTCGAAAAAGTTGGCTAGTCTATCATGGATGTAAGAACCTTGCTAAACAATCTGCACAGAGAAATATTCTGTCCTGAGTGTAAAAGCACATTGGATGAACCAAAGACGCTACAATGTCTACACAGTGTCTGTCTCCGTTGCCTGAACAACATCTTGCGAACGAGTGGCCGCCGTGACATCATAAAATGCCCTGAGTGTCAAAGGGAAAGTGAAGTCCCAGAAAGTGGTAATCTCCAAGATTTACCGTCTAACTTTCGCATCGTCAGTGTGCTAGACTTGAAGGCCATTAAAGAATGCGATACTACTGATGTAAAATGTGGAAATTGCGACAAAATAAGCGCTCAGAGTTGGTACTGTTTCGGATGTTGGACACTCTGGTGTGAAGATTGTATCTCTGCTCACAACGTTATCCGGGAAAACAAAAAACACCGCGTTTTGGCAACTCGAGACTTTGAAGATAAAGACTTTGAAGACGTTTTAAAGCGACCAGCATTTTGTTCCAAGCTTGGACACGAAAGGAGAGAACTTGAATTCTTTTGCACGATTTGTGGAACCATCGTTTGTGACGCTTGCGCCTTGACACATCACGACGGTCACGACAAGATACCCTTGAAGCAAGCTGCAATTGAACGAAGGGAAGAATTTAAGTCAAAGATTGAATCTAAGAAAAAAAGATTAAAAACAATGAAAGATGAAATGAGAAATTTCGAAAAAGAGTGGCCTGAAATTCAAGAAAACGCTGCCTATGTAGAAAGAAGCGTACAGAAGTTTGCTGATGAAATTATCTCAGTGATCGAAGCGAAGAAAGAAGCGATCATCACTGAAGTGAAAGAGTCAATACAGTGTCAAGAGGCTAGACATAGCGAGAATGAACGCGAGATAAAAATTACCGAGGAGGCTCTGGAACTAGCTGAAACACTTCTTAAACGAAGCCCAAACGTTGAAATTGTTCAGCCTAACAAATTCATAGACAACGTTTTGCAAAATGACCCAGCAAAAGTGGTTCAAGATTTCGATGAAAAGAGTGATGACTCGGATGTCTTCGGTGACTTCTTGAAAAATCAAAAGTTTTTTGATTATGTGTGCAGGAAAACCATTGGTACTTTGAAGTTCTTTCCCACCAAAACCAGACCACATCTGTCAGATGCCACTGGAAGAGGACTCACTCAAGCGTGCAAAGGGCTGAAAGCATATATAATTTTGACAACTAGGAACAGAGAAGGTGAACAGTGTTACCAAAAACATGACTGTGTGACGGTGGTGGGTGGTGATTCATATTCTGAAAAAGAGCTGGAAACACAAATCCAAGACAACGAAGATGGAACCTATGAAATCAGTTATTTTCCTGAATTCAAGCGGCATGGCTTTAAGCCACTAGAATCACTCGAGATACAAGTAAACGGAGAGCATGTTCATGGAAGTCCCTTTGCCGTCAGTGTTGATACAAGAAAGTTCAGTCCCGTCATGTCTTTTGGACAACAAGGTTCCTCAGAAGGAATGTTTAATGGGCCATGTGGGGTGGCAGTAAATGAACGCGATGAAATTGCAGTGTCTGATTCTGGTAACCACAGGGTTCAGGTATTCAGTAGTGATGGAACTTACTTAAGGTCTTTTGGTGCAGAGGGTGATAAACAGGGGGAATTTCACACGCCCTCTGGGATAGCCTTTGATGCAAATGGCAACATTGTTGTGGGGGACAGTGGTAACCAGCGAATTCAATTTTTCAGTGGGGAGGGTGAGTTTAAGAGTCAGATTGTTAACAGCACAAGTCTTGATCACTGTTTACCAGAGTCTTGCGGTATATCTGTAGACAATGATGGCAACATCATTGTTCCTGATTGCCGTGAAAAATCAGTTAAGATATTTTCTCCTAGTGGACAACTTCTGCGTACCATTGGTGAGGGTCAGCTCTTCTCTCCCAGTCATTGTATTCAATACAGGGACCATTTTTTTGTGTCAGACAAGGGTGACCATTGTATCAAAAAGTTTGATAGGGAAGGGAGGTTACCGAACAGTTATGGTAGTGAAGGGGTGGGAAACAAACAGTTCAATAACCCATGTTGCTTATCAGTTGACAAGGCAGGACGACTGATGATCTGTGATAAATTGAATCACAGAATTCAGCTTCTTGATATTTCGAGTGGAAAGTTTCAGACTAAGTTTGATATAAAAGGAGAGGGTATTGGAGGCTTGGGTACCCCAGTCTCCATGGCTGTTCTGAGCAATGGAAGGATAGTCGTGTCAGACTCCCTGCACCATTGTGTTCATATCTATGAGTAGATTTGACATTCCCACCCCACACACCCCCCCCCCTTCCCTCTGCTGGCTGTAGCCTAGCATCAATCGATTTCCTTAGCTTGTTGATTTGGATTTACATCACATAATTGTTTGTTACTCTTCCAAAAATTGCTGCACCTACCCACAAAAGGGTTTTGCAGATGATTGCTCTTAAAATCATGACTTGTTGTTGCATATGTCAGACAGGGATGACCATTGCATGTAGGGGACATTTCTGAATAGGTTTGGCAGTTAAGGAATAGCATACAAGCAGTTCAATGACCTGCGTGGCTTGTCAATTGACAAGGTGGGACAGCTGAAGGTCTATGATAAACTGAATCAAAGAGTACAACTACTTGTTATTCCAAGTGGAAAGTTAAGAACCAAATTTGAAATAAAAGGGAAGGAATGTTTGCGTACCCCAGTCTCTTTAGCGGTTTTGAGTGATGGTAGGATAGTTGTGCCTGACATCTTTAACAAATGTATTTAGATATTTGAGTAGATCTAGGAATCAATCCCTGCTAAAGTACAACTCAAGAGAGGGATTCATTCTTTCTTGCATAGCATGAATCGTTTCCCTTTTAACTTTTGGAATACTAAACAATTAACTGTAAGCAGACATCTAATATATTTTATCCATATTTCCAGCTATCCATGACCATGTCTTGCTGCCCTAAGATTTAATTTTCCTTTGAATGTGTTGAATTGTAAGTTGTCATTTTAAATTTAATTTTGCAAAGCTGTGCCTTTGAAAAACAAAACAATGGTTGCCCTGATTCTCTGGTCTCAGAAATCTGGGGGACAAAACTTTTAGTAAATTTCAACAAAAATTATGATTATGATAAGTATTGTTAGTATGTCATTTACTATCATAGTGCTGTTTGGGAGTCCTTTTTAACGTGTTTCTAGAAGGTAGCTAAAGGTAGCACCTTTTACATACAGGGTCCATCCATATCTATGGTGAAAACAATGACACACAATTGCACGTTCTATGACATGAGTAAAAATTGTGATGAATTAGTTGCAGGAAATATTCAAGATTATTAGTACGATTCAAAGACCATGTACAAAAATAGGTTAAAGCACAAATTGTACAATAGAGAATAAGTTGCAGGCTGATTAGATCAGAATTTGCTTTGACCAAAGTAGCCAACATTTATGCTGTAAGCAAGCATTGACTTTTAATACGAACTGTTTTGCGACATCAGTAAACATTTTTTTGAAGTAGTTACAAAGAAGAATTAAATTCAAGGTTGTAATACATAGGAAAATAGAGAATAAATATAAACTAACACATTTTATTTCCAAAAAGAAAGTATATAAAATTTGCTCGTCTTGATGACTAAGAACAGCTGAGAGATTGGGAAGAATTATTGAACGATCTTTTCAAAAATTCACTGTCAAACAAAGCGGAAAAATCCCTTCGCGTCCAAAATCATGCCAAAGTGAAATGAAGTGAAATTACATAAAAGTGATGTCACGAGATATTCTGGTTTCTATGGATGCATTGAAAAAAGTCAGCCGACTTGTAGGCCGTCTTAAATTCTCATGTAGCGATGTCTTCGCAAAATCTTGTTTTGCGGGTCTTTCGACAAATTTCCGCTCAAGAACGCAGTTATGATTCCTGTCTGATTGTTGTCTGATCTGATCACTAAAGACAAAACGGACACAAACTACAAGTGTACCTTCCTTTCCTTGATACTGCATTATCTCTCAATGCTTTAGCTTATACCAAAAACGTTACTTATCTATAAAATGCTCGAGCACCGCTTAACGACTCGGACTCCCTCACTACAGCAATTGTTGACGGGCAACAATCTGGTGACTATTTACAAAACCTTCCCAAATTATTTGTCTGTTCACAATATAAAACCGGTATTCTCACGCATTCAATTTACGAAGGAGTTTCAGCCTGCGAGGGATCCGGAAGGGACGGGGGAAAGTTAAATTTGAGAGTAAGGTGCCTAAGTGAGAATTGCACTCTCTCCCTCCTCCAAAGGAGTTGTATTTGCTTTAAGAATGAGCTGCGTGTGTCACGTCATTCCGGAGCAGTTTTGTCATACCACGTTCATAAATTATGTCCTGTCAAAAGTTCAAGACCTCATTTAGGTGCAGGAAATTTCACTGCCCCACTAGTTCTCTGACTCTAACTAAACAAACCGCAAGAAACCACTCGGGAGTTTGTTTCGGCTCCAAGTTTCTATAAAAGCGGTCCTTTGTCCATAAACCATTAATGAAGCACATCGCCTGACCTCTAATGTGTCTGACACTGGAGGCGTGAACGTGGCGACAGCCGAAAAAGCTGCTAAATTTTCATCCCAGACGTAAATTCCCAGTAATCTAAATAAACCAGTCAGAGCTAATCGGTAACACGCGTGTTAGGCAAGCTTGATCATGCTGATAGATAAGGCGAAGAAAACTTGGCTTGTATCGAGACGCTCTGATCGAAGAGAAAGACGACAGAAATGTTTTTAAAGCGAAATTTTGGATCAGTATTACGTGTCAACCTCCGAGTAGGACTCACGAGGAAGCTTGGCTAAAACGCAGGACTTTTGTCATCGGAGGCTCCAGTCACGCATCGGGAAATAGGAAAAACAAACAGCTTACAGGGTGACTCTTAACAGCTTAAAGACACGACAGCTGCCCTCAGCTGAGCGTATGTTTTATGTCTTCTACAGTTATAGTTCCCTGTAAAGGAAAAAAAAAACATGCCCAAGATTGTGTCTCAGCGTAGTGTAACTGAGATAAGATTCACTTTTCGTCAAGCTGTATAGTGGTCTGATTTAAACAAAAAAGGTCTTTGAAGCAAGATTAAGAAAATCTGTTTGTGCGGTAGACTAGGATTGGATTCAATTCCGTCCAGGAATGCTCCCGTCGTCGATCAGAATCAATTTCTTTGTCATAGCGATTGTACACTTGAGTCACTGTAAATTCCTTCGCTTGTTTTTGAGAACAGGCGAAGAAAGAGCACCTCTGTAAACCATATTCCTCGTCAAACCTTGGGAAGGAAAAGCACTTCCGTTTTCTTAATCTGTCAAAGGGAACGAACTAAAAAAAAAACACGTGTAGTAAAAGGCTGACACAGATATAGCAGAATTTTCAGACAAAACTAAACCAGATGTCTCGACACTAGTAAAAATTGCGTTTAAAAATTTTAGGTGAATACGATTGTTATTAAGCACTGGACGCTCGTGTTTTGTGAGACATTTCCACCGAAATAACGGTTAGTTTTCCCAAGAAACAACTTTTTTCCTGAATTTAAAAGAAAGGAAATTTCAAGCTCGCGTTCTCGAGATGCTGTGAAGGAGAGCTGTGATGAAATTTAAGACAAGGGTGTCCGGAATAACTCGATTTTGAGTTTCTAAAAGCAGGCATTTAATAGGATGTGAATAACCAATAAACTGTATTAAAAGACACATAGTGATGCGCTAAACCAAACGCGTCAAACACTTCACGGCGGCCTTCACAGACCTTAGATACACACATGTCCACATCACCATAGAGTTATTTCAGCTGTTTTGTGGCTAATGGTCCACGATGGGTTAGGTAAACAAAACAAAAAAAACAGAAAAAAAAAAAAAACGAGACAAGGTAGGGGAGTGTTAAAATAAATGAGATTTGAATATGCAGCCCCTGTGACTGAATCGTGATGCAGGACGAGGACTGAAAAGTGGACCAGTCCAAAATAACCAATCACAAAGTGAAAATGTAATTAGTCGGCGCAGCTCGTCAAGCACGGTGTAATCCATCGCATATCGGCTATCAAACACCTAGGGATCTGTAAATAGCAACAAATTATGAAATTTAAATCAGGAAAGATCAATATTGTGTGCGACGTGATTATGTTTTCATGAGAGAGACAAGGTGCTCGTGACGACATAACACGAAAATTTTGAAGTCAGCTACCTATGAGATCTTGTTTGCGATTGGCTGTCGCGTTCGATTTCTTGACATGTTTCAAGCCGTGTTTTGATTTTTCCAGTCCATGTCAGGCCTGCCTGCGATTGGTTTAAATTTGTCACCAAGTTTGCACAGCTGCGAGTTAGAAAACCCGCGTAGCGAGAGCACTTGGACAAAACACAGTTGCTTCCGCGCGCGGCCAAATACCTTCACAGCTTTCAAGCGACGAACATCTGTGAGCTCTTTCGATCGTTGCTTCGTCGTTGCTTCACACCAAACGCTAGAATGAAGCCTCAATCCACAAAGTCTGGCCTTCACGCCGGGGAGGATTCCCTGCGTTCAACTACGACAACGACTTCAAGTATTTCTAGGGCTCGTGCGCGCGATACCAGTGTTTCACATCTCGAGCAAGGCTGTATTTACAACATGGACGACTGCTACGCGAGGCTCAGAGCCATGGTACCGCACATCCCTGCTAACAGAAGGATGAGTAAAGTCGAAATTCTACAGCACGTTATTGACTACATTCAGGATCTCGAGTCTGCTTTGGAACTGCCGAATCTCCAAATAAACAACTTTGTAAAGAATTCAGCCGATAAGAAGACTAGTCGAGTTCCGCTTAAGACAATTTCTTACAACCGCTGAGAAAGAGGTAGGTTGGACTTTTCATAATCAGGCCGTGTTTCACTGCGGCGGAGTGTCTACTCATTAAATTCACGACGCGCTATAGACCGGTTTATGGCGCACAACCCTTCGGAACGGGGCACGTTTACCCAGATATTTAGTCGATATTCAAGATCGTGAAATTGTAAGGGTATTAATATACTCAAATATCAGATAAAAAGCAGTGCAAGGAGGGTAATAACGTTTTTATCGGCATGGTATTCGCCTTTGAGTAACATTGTTACGAGGGTGTTAGATAAGCTACATATTTCCTTGCGGAAACTACACAAATTGTTCCAAACTGCCTTCTGTTTCGTGCAACAAGACGGAGGAATTAAAACAATTCAATGGGAAAAATGTCTCGACAAGCACGAACCCAGAGACACCCTCAAAATCTCTCAGATCCTTAACATTAAACAGCTGGGGCACCTTTACAGAACAAACACTCACGAACCAGAATAAAACCTGTGAACAGTGGGCCAACCGTAGAGTCTCCAGCGACTCAAAGACGGGTAGTCTGGAAATTTCGCTTTCTTTAATTTAAGAAACTTCTGGCTTTTGATTAATGTGTAAGGTGTTTCATTACAGACGGGGCTCCTGTTTTCTAAAATTGACATGAGCCACAAATTATAATCTTGAAGTATTACGCACTTTTAGAAGATCTAAATCTGTTGAACATCGAACAGAAACGGGGACAGTTTGGTCCTAATTCCACACACTACAGGAAGGAACTTGTAAGATGCGAACTAATCTGTTTTCGATGATAAAACCCAGCTCCATATGGTCAGCCGAGTGGGACACGCTCTCTCCTCGTTAATGTCAAAATCGTACACAAATTGAAGAGGATCAAAATAATGTTCAACAGATGTTACACTCGGGCACATACCACTTTTACCAGATTTACATGGCAACTGTCTGCTTTCACTTCAACCAAGTTCACATTGTTCCACACCAGAGATAACTGACTTATCTCTTGTTTATTGTTTTAGCAGGAAAGTGAAGAAGATGTAAAGATTACAAGAACTCCTCAGTCTCAACCCGAAAATTGAGCGAGCGAACGGCAAATTGCAATAGATCTTTCTGGGATGCTTATTTGAACAGCGAGAGACTCTTGAATCGCTTCCGAAAGTTTTCGAAACGTCCCTAAATTTGATTCCAGAATCTGACAGTTAGAAAATGACCAGAACATTCATTGTACGTTTAGAGTTGTACGGAAAATATATTTAGTTAGGCGTGAGATGTACAGAACCTTATTGGGAGAGTTTTGGCAGTTGTTGGGGAGAAATTTAAATTTGCAGCTTAAACAGCGGCGAGTCTTTTTACTTGCAAATGACAATTTGTTTTGTTTTTCACGTGATTTCTGTCAGTTGTTCAAACAAAACGTAATCCACATGACTTGTAAGCCCACAAAGCCTATTTTTATATTATAAAACCAACCGAAGGAATGTAAAAACAAAATTAAGTAGTTAAAATGTTTTTCAGTTTGTAACATAGCTACGGGATTAAAGACTTCTTGCCCTAGTTAAACCTAGTTTCGTTACATGTAGCTCAAGGCGACAACATACGGTGAAATGATTTCCTCCAAAACGTTTATTTAAGGGCATTCAAAGGGAGCATGTTTGTAAATGAAACAAACCAAAGCCGCATAAAACAGTGCATATGCAAGATATCAAACCCATCTGTCAGAAACTAATCCTGGCTGTTGCTTAACAAGATCCAAACAAATGCAATTTCTTAGGCTCTTTATAAACCCACACGCGATGAGTCCGTGATGTTTTTTAAAACTTCGCTGGCACGCCTTTATAATGGATTTTTAATTCACTGTAACAACCCTGCGTTATTAGAACAATTACCATAATCGATTTTGCACATGAGAGACTAACTGATTTTAGAAAATTTCTGCGGAATTTTTTACTCCATCTCCACCGCATCTGACCAGCCTTTCTTCGCCAATTAGAAACAGCCGTGGAGAGAATCCCTGTCTTCCTACGTTCTGTTTTGATTTCAGCCGGTATGACTGAGTGTGTAATTTCAACAGCAGTTATCGTCTTTTGACAGTAAATGTTAAGAAACCACATTCAGAGAAACTTCCTCGAAAGGAGGTTGGAAAGTTGCGAGCTAAAGGCGATTCCCTAAAATAAATTTAAGGTTGCTGTGAGTAAATATATTTCAATCGAGGTTTGCATATCGGGAGCACAATATTGCCATTGCGCATTCCTAGTAAACTATTGAAAAAGTTCTGACCCCTGAACTGATTGTCAGCAATTAATTAGATACATATCTGTTTCATCGTTTTCCATTTCAGACCATTGGCAATGGATAAAAGTTAAAATTGCTTCAGGCAAAACCTGTAGATCAGAGAAAAAGTTGCAAATGACTTCACGTATGTTGTTTATCGCGTCCTCATTTTCTCCCAAGGAGAAAAAACCGACCACACTCATTGAAAATTTTGGACTAAATCTTTGACGACACGTGAGTAGAAAAACATCCACAAGCAGTTTCTGACCCACATGTTCGACAACTACATGCCTGCTTCAGAGCGATTAAACCAGCAAGGAAACCCACGATAAAGAAAGGAAGGTTTCCGCTTAACTCCCAAACAAAATCAAACATTTAGCGACAAAATCGTTATTCCTGTCTGTGTATCCGGCGTGGGATCCTATTAAAGTACTATTTAGCAAACGTCATTATTTGTCTCTCAATTTTGGCCAGGTTACTTCAGATGATTGCAAAGGTTCCAATTTTTAAAACCTTTTTGAACCACAAGAACCAAAAAAAAAGAACGATTTAATGGTAAACAAGTAACAATTTCAAATTGACGTACTTCAAAAATTTAAAAGACACTCTACAAGAGGACAGGAATACCCACTCAACTACCACGATTTCATTACAACGTCTGGCTTTGATTGATAACAGCTGCTACACATGTTTTAGAAAAGAAAAGTCTTAAGTTGCACAGCATGTTAGCGATTTTTTTGGTCTTTCCGGACCCTCCCAGGCTTACAGGATAACGTCATTCAGTTCCCCGTAAACTAATTTTTCAAGGTATGATACAGTTAGCGTGACTGTTAAAAAAAAGTTTCATTTGTTACGCCTAAAAATAGGAAAGTATGACGAGAAACTAACCAGCAATAAAAACAAACACTATAGAACGAGCTACAACAGGTCAGCGTCATCTAAAATATTTTGGAAAAACAAACAGGCAGCTTTTTCTCATGTGAAGGTCAAGAATGTTATAAAATCAATTGCGACACTCTTCAGAACATCTGCATTCTTCAAACGTTTCTCCTGCAGAGCAAAAGAACAGACAAGAATGGATCTAGCGACCACACAACTAGACAAATCCAAATGTTTTCTTTTCACACTTTTTCAAGTACGTCGAGGGACAGGAAAATCATTGGCACGACTGATAAAATGTAGCTTTTGTTTCTTTTTCTATAAAAAGTTATCTTTGTGTTTTATTTATAAACAAAAAGCTTAGGTCTGGTAGAATTGAATTAAATCGTCTTTAAATGCGCTTATATACTTCGAGGTTGTCTAATGATTTCTCAGTGGATTGGACTGGATTCCTGGCTTTCTGCCCACGCCTGAAGTCCATAACGTTCGATTCCGTTCACAAGCGGGTTATACTGTGCAGACCCGGAAAACAGGTCCGCAGAGTTTTTTTTCTCACGGTCATACGTGGTTTAAGAAGGATGTCAAGTCATAACAACAGAGAATGTTTACAGCAAAAACTCATCAATCATCAGCCCCTCTGTTATACAGCAGGGGACTGTGCATCAGAGGTCACTAACAAACTGTACCTCTCAGTGGTATGGCATTGTGAAGTATCAATTTTTCTTTGCTGCCAAGAATTCAAACAGTCAAGTACTGAGGTATTGGGGTCAGATGGAAAATTTCATGATAACAAATACCAAACTGAATACTCCGTTTGTAAAAACTAAATAAATCAATAAACCAAAAGTGAAAAAAAAAAAGAATAAAAAAAGCAGCTTCCCTTCTTTCCCCTCTTTCTTATGTAAATTCCGCAGTGGCCAAAAGACATTGAATATTGCTTCGAAAATGATGTTCGTAAGCTACTATTGAATTTCTCCTGTTTTAATAGCGGGCCAGCTGGCTTTAGTTATGAGGAGGGGTCGAATTTTACGCTTCGCTCATTCAACGTGGAGAAGGAGAAGGAAGATGGCACCCTTTTTATCACGTTCAGAAAACAGTTATTATTTACGAAGACATTCAAAAGACATTAAAAAATTCATACAACTTATGTTCTCTCTTTAATCAACATACTGGAATCTATTTGAATTGGCAACATTTTCACATCTGATTCATACATAAATCCCCTTTTTCCCTAGCTGCTCTGTAACTTACTGGAAGCTGAGATAGTTTACAACAAGTTAATAAGACATTATAAAATTGTGAAGTCCCTCCTTCGAAGACAGCTCTCGAACATTTTCGATAATGCGGATTTGCTTGGATTCCTTATGACACACACTTCATTGAATTTAATGCAACGTAGTATAAAACGTATAAAATTCCCTCCATTGCAAAAGTCCGTCATCAGTGCAAGTATCTCTGCCACAGTTGATGACTGAAGTTATCTGGTAAAATGCACCTCGGAGTAAGTGCATGCTAAAATCCTCACTGATTCTCCTTCGGCACCAAGTTCAATCATATTGTCGTGTTTGAGACGACATATTTTGTATGCTCCGACAAACGCCGAATTCTCTTGTAATTCATACGACACTTGAGCTTTAAACTGACATTGTACAAAACTTTATAAAGGGTTATACACAAAGCGAAACTCTGAGTGACGTGCAAATGTAGAAAATACAAAATGTTTTTCACCGTTGATGAAGTTATCATGAATTTCCCTACGACTGCAAGTGCCGGCCAAAATCTACATTTCCCAGCTTTGGCAAGAAGTTTAATACAAATTGCCATTGAAATGCTTTGCATAGTAATGATCTCAGAATACCATCTGATATCCTTGGCAAGTGTTGCAGGGGAACATCATTCAGCCAGGTCTAGCAATGCGCTATTCGGTCAGGATTGTTGTAGCAGCGAGCTGACAGAATTCCGTGCACGTTCGGTCTCTAGAGTTACTTTGACAAACAATCACCTTTAGTAGCTTGGACTTGCCTCTCGTCTTCGCTTTGCTGGAGTGTTAAGAGCAAAGCTGGCAAAAGGCAGGACAGCGTGTTGTGTAATACAATCTAGATAAAATAGCATATCAAGAACTGAGGTGATTTTTATATCCATTTCTAAGGGCATCAACCCCTATGCTATTCTGCTAAATATTCTAACAGTGGACGTCAACAATACTCATTCATGCATCAGCATCACTGAATAACGGTTCTCAAACCGCTAGAGAAGATATTATATCAAAGAAAATCTCCAAAGTTTTTCAGGTGTATTTAACCAACATATGAAGTTTCGTGCAGTTTCCACAGAGAAGGAAAAGGGAAGAAATGGGCTGTACAGCGGAAGAGATGATGTCAAAGCTATGGTATTTTTTGAAATAAGAAAACAAACGACCTCCGCGATGTTGAAATCAAAACTAACAAAAGAGAACTGCCGCTTAAATTTCAAAACAAGTACTTCAAATAGGTCCATTTCCTTGCCTATCATTTGCTCGCGACGACCACACGCAATTCCAGGACGCTCTATCAACAGAAACCTATAAGTCCTTCATCTCACATCATCTGACTCGTTGAGTCTCTTTTCTACATAGAAAAACAGCCTCTAGCTCATTAGATTGAGAGCAGAAGTGAAAGTCTCAAAGAGCCAATGAATGTTTCAAGGAGCCAATGAGAACTTAAATGAGAAATAACCACACTGCTTGAAGCGCGCGGTTGACCGGTTGAGAAGAGGGCGTGAATTTGCCTACCAATCACAGAGTGCAGTGAGCCAAACCCATTGCAATCCTGACTTACTTTCGACACTTACCTAAAAATCGCTCTATTGTAAAGAGAAGTTATACATCTGGCACTTTTGTGAGCTGAACAGTCAAACGGTTTAACCCTAAAGGATGCCTTGAGCCCCGTTACATAAGCGAATTTTCAAATAAGCACGGCCTCAGTCCAGATTTTTTTCCAGATCTTTCACTTTTTTTTCTTTTTTTTCTTTTCGGAAGGCATAAAAAACTTGTCAGGAGAAGGACTCACCGAGAATCCACTGTTCTGTAACGTTCACAACTTGTGTTTTCCTTGCCATTGAGCCGATGCATATTCCAGCATTTCTAATAGAGGTACTAACCTACATTTAGTTAAATAAGGAAAAGAAAATTTAGAACAGTGAGGATGGAGAGTAAAACCTCTCCACGAGCTGACATAAGCGAGGAAACGTATTCATATACAAGACCAGGTTGTTTGAGACAGGATGGTACGAGCCCTGAGGTACATGTAACTGCGTTCAAATCGAAACATGATCCCATAGCATTTAATCTGATTTAGTGCAAATCATATTTCCAACAACTCGGCCCAGTTGCTTTCCCAGCCAAGGAAGCAATATTTAAAACTGATTTTAAACTGGCTATCTAATGGTCAGTTATAGTTTAAACTTCGTTACAGTTCTGTAATCAGCGCGTTTTTAGCGATCTTCGCGCGATTTTTTCGCTCTCGCCGTATCTAAGGCGTGTTTTGAGTTCTGGTTGCTTTCCTCGGCTATTTACAACAGCTCTTATCACTGCTTTGGCTTGCTTTGCTATCCAAAACAGACACTGCTAAATTAATCCGCACCAATAAATTAAATAATCACAACTTACCTTTCCACCACAGAGGCCTATCAAGGAGGTCAAAGAGTCACTCGGAGGCGCGCAGTTTTCAGAGACATACATCGGTGGACACTCAGCAAAGAGCTCCTGGTGGTAACCCGGCCCAGCACTGATACGTTCCAGCCGGCAAAGCTAAACACAACAGCAAATAAACACACATTGCTGACTTATATTTATGAAAGATCTCTCTTAGGAAAAGAGCAAGCCCCAAATAAGCATACCGGATCACCCACCTGTGCAGCAGGAAATGCGTCTGATAATTCATAGGGTTCTTCGTCCACCCAATAACCAACTTCTAGAGATTTCATCACCTGCATAGAAACAAAAAACACCTCTCTAAGTTCTTAAGTCAGCGAATTTGATTTCATTTCATTCCATTGAAAGAGATAGATGAATACGTCACAGTTGCTGGACATCAAAAAAATTCAGCCCGGTCAGTGAATCAAGTTTCTGGCCGATTATGTCATTTAATCTTCTCCATCCGTTGCCAAATCACATTTCTGGTATTTCTTGTTGTGGGTGGACGTCTGTTTTTAAGGTTTTTTCTATTTAACGGTAATTTTAAAAGTCATGATGTAACGTAATCAAGCCTATTCAAATGTATCAGAGGAGGAAAGGGTTCCCAAAGGGCGGTTGTTAAGAGTGGGTGGTTAAAAAAGTTATTATTTATATACTAATGTTTCTCCTCCTCCCTTCTTCCTTACCCAAGCTGATGACACGAGCCATGATCCTTGAGCAATAGCCATTAAAACGTTTAGGGTGCGGCGAGGACTTCCAGCGATCACGTGACTAGTAGAAGAAGAGACTCGGTCTTCGATAAAGAATCCGCCCAGTTTACGTACGACAGACAGAACAATATCTTGCTCACTGAAAGAAATAGATATGGCACCTTGAAAGATTTACAAAATATATCACAGAATGGCAGTGAAATGTAGGGCACAACACTGACTAAAATTCCGTACCCAAAATGCATGCTTGTCATCACAATCGATCGCTTCGGCTGTGAAAAGAAAGAAAAAAGCGAAAGTTAGGACCTTCCAAATTCACTCTCATTTACTTACATCATTGAACTATTTTATTCAACTACTTCATGCCACTAGCAAAAATGGCAAAGGCCCACTTAGCTTATCATTAGAAACAAAGATTTTTGCATACTGTGGTGAATCGTTGTCCCAAACATCAGATGGCGTCCCTTACTAATGACACCTGCTAGAGTATCAGTGTAATTTACCCCTGGATATTTTGCATCCCTGACATTAAGAATCTCGGAGATAGCGGTGCTACAAGGACAATCTACGAGTACTGTAAATTGTGCTGAGTCATATCATCACAATTCAACTTGAACTACATGTAACTGTATCGATGATTATGCATTGCTGCAATAGCAATTGCTTGCTCCCTGTGTAGAGTTAGTGGGGGTTAAAGGGGGGAGAGGGGGGCGGGAGGAGAAATGGTGGAAAGGGGGCTCATACTACACAGGTCAGCGTTCCTAAACCAGGACAAGTTTAAAGGGCTCGAAAGGAAACAAAGACTACACGTATCTCCTGACCATGTTGTCCAAGAAAAGCAGGAAGAGAGCGAAAAAAGACGGAAATATTGATTGTATGGCGTAACGTGAACAAACAACAAACGTGTCAGACCTGTCTCAGGTACGAGCACACTCAATTTTGCTTTACCTGTCTCAGGTAAGAGATCAACCCGAGAAAATCAAGGCATCATCAGCCGCCTTACCTTAACCTTTTTGACAAGCTTTGTGCGCTGTTTTCTCTCCGTTTTCCGATCATTTTTCAGGTGGGGTTCTTGTTCATCTTCCTCTGTACACGTGCTGCCTTCAGCATCCGCGTCCTCGTCATCACTTTGAGATTCCTCAGAAGACAGCCTTCCACTCTTCATATTTTCATCATTTTGCTGCAACACACTGCTCTTGATGTCAAATCCGTCTTTTCCTTTGTTTTTACCAATACTAACCTGACTTTCCAATTTCGCTGGACTCACTAATTTAACCTTCTTGACTGTATTTTTCCGCAGTAAATTCTTCTCTGTCTTACTCACATTCAATTTTGCTTTAACATTGTTTTCATGTTGTCTTTCATTGTCTTCCGTAACAAGAGAGTCATCAAATTCCACTGCTTTAGTTGCTTGGCCAACCAACTCCTCTGTCTTAGAAAACCTCTTATGACGAAAAGACACCCTATTAACCAGTGAGGATTTTCTGTTACTTTCTGTAACGGACACGCCTGAGTCTGAATCGATATTTTCGCCAGTTTGATCTGAATTGTGACCTGAAGGGAATTTCTTTCCTGGCTTAGCTGGAGTCTTCTTTTTCCTTGAAACACTGTCTTGCTTTTTCTTTCCATCGTCGGTTCCTGCTGTGACGCATTTTTCATCTTCTGAGGACAAAAAATGAAAATAAAAATGAAGTATGGTCTAATGATGAGCCGATGTATAAATAAAAGCACATATGGGCATTCTTGTATCTTAACGAATGTGAAAATCAATTCTTAAAAGTTTCCTTGATTAGTTTTCACTTTGTATTTGAAAGTACAATTGTATAGGAAAGGCTACGACTGCCAATCGAAAATCAACTGGAAGTAGCCATTCCGTGTTAAAAACAAACACATTAAAAAATGAAACGAAACCATTTGGAAGGGTTTTTTGTCAGCGTATTCACAAAAGCTAGTTTATGCGGTTGCGCAAAGGTTCAATTGATCTCATCCCTACTCACTTCATCCTTTAAGATCGATACCCGGCAGATCCCCAAAAACCCTTGTATGCCCAAGAGCGACATCCCTTTCCCATCGTTCAAGGAGACCAATCACCGTCGAGACCCTGCTAAACAACACCCAATCAGATGATAGCCACGAGCATCGCCTTTGATTTTTTTTAGGCTCCCCCGCGACCCACTCTCACAGTAAATTTAATGGGTTTTCTAACCTGTAGGGAATGTTGAGCTTAGGTTAGGAGGTGTTTGAAGGGAAGTAAGCAAAAAAATGATTCTACAAGATTCAACACAATACTTTACCTTTTGCCTGTGATGCTCTCTCCTTTCTTCCCTTTTTAGCATCAGATATATTTTGTACGGTCGACTTTGTGCGTTCAGTATCTGTTATAAGTTCTTCATGGTCTATTTCCTCACGCTGCACTTCCTCTACAACTTTGGTTTTCTTTTTTCGCTTTGCAACACCTGCCTTGATGTCTTCGTTTAGTGCTTCTCTGGTCGACTCCTGCCTCTTTCTTTTCTTGCCTTGTTCAGAGCCTGCTTTTGTAGGAAAGAGAGGGGATACAGCCTTGAGAAGGAGTATTGAATGAAGAATATCGAAATTCCTACGCAAAACAGCTAAAATGTCAAATGTGGGATATAAACGGTGGAAATGTATAAACTTCAAACTCTAATTCACAGCTGAGATGTGGCAACTTTGACAAAAGGACCCGTTCACATAACGTAAAAAATAAGCGTACGCACTCATCACATCGTCAATGTACAAGTATAGGCAGAAAAAAACATGTACCACACAGCCTGTTGAGCTTTCCTACCATTCAACAAAAAAAACCAGTGACTACTGAAAATATTTAAAGCCTTTACACAAACTTGACCTGTCAGTATCACATCTTTCGGTGTTTTTCGAATCTGCCCGGATGGGGTCTCTTTTTGTTCCACGGGAGGGGTGGGTAGATTTGATGGAGTACTCTTGCTCAGCAGCCTTCTTTTAAGTTTGCTGATGCTTGACGGGATTTCTTGGTTAATGTCTGACAATTGGTCAGTGTGGTCTTTTCCCGATGCGATTGGTTCCCCTGGCGATTCGTCATCTGTTGAAAGAGTACGCTCGCATTAAAAAAAAGTCATTAAATTTTGGTCAGATACCGTCTTTTCTTGCTATTCAGTTGTCAGGAGGAACATGGTATGAAACAAAAGGGAACACGAACGAGTCCGAATTTTGGCGGGAAAACTGTGGCAGCTTGCGTCAATATCTCGCGCATTATTTCTTTGCCACGCTTATATACAATGCAGAGAAAATTCTCGAGAGGTAAGTGACTCAATGCTTATACTTTACGTCCATAGAATTGTTCAAATTAATTAACCGAATGTTTCAACCACAGCTCTATGTTTCATTGGCTTTGGTATTTCGCTGCAAACCTTTCGTCAAACCGCACGCTCTTAGCCGACTGATGTTGCCTCTCATATTTCAAGAAAGCGGCTTAAGGTAATTCCTAACACCATCTTTCTTCTGAAAAGTAGTATTTATTCCTATGTTTTCGAGTAGCTTAGAGTTTTATTCGTTAGGTAAAGCTTCTGACTGTCTGTCATCACAGGTTGATTCATGGCACTCATTTGTAGCGGGTTCGTTCATGTATCTACACCGGCACATAATAGCGTCCATGTGTATTGCAGTATGTAGCCTATCAAAAGGTTCAACATAGGGGGAATTTCCTCAATTGAAAGGTTTTTTTTCAATGAAGGCTGAGGTTATTAAAGTCTCACAAGCCAACAAACCCACACTGATGTATTTCCTTCCTCGGTTTTCAAAGCACGAAGCGAGTAACTAGGAATGATGGGAATGAGATACTTCTCCGACACATGATAACCCACTCCCGACATCTGTAACGTTTCCAGCGTAAGTTTATTGTAATTTTTTTAAAGTGAGTAAAGATAATTGATGGATAATACAGGCGTATCAAGGAAGAAGTATGTGTAAAAAAGTCGTTTACGTAAACTATTAATACACTGCACCAAGGTTTACCGTAATTGAGTGCTTTGATAAATGGTGATTTTTCCATTTTTTGACTGGGTGTGTCTGGTACGATATGGGGTGTAACGGGAGAGTTGAAAGTTAACTGAAAACAAAACAGACGGACAGATTAACTCAAGCATAAAAAAAAGAATAATGAATCTGCTAGAGGTAAACGAGAACAATGCAGAGGCTGTATGCAGTAGGTAGCTTTTCAGCAATAAACAATTCTTTACTATTAGCACATTTTAACAATACAATTTTAGAAAAATATGTTTTTTCGTCTTATCACGAGCGTGGGAAAATGAAAAATTTCTGAGTCCCCATGAAGAATCGAACCTAATATCTTCGGATTCCGCACTCCGATGCTCTACCACTGAGCCACAGAGATCCAAGGTGAGCGAGGTCTATTACGAAGTTCATATGACACGCGTCCTGCATACTGCTAGGATCAGCAATGTCGATAGACAGTGTCGAAAATTGTTTTATGTAAAGCTCACTTTACATAAAACAATTCAGGAACCTTTTGATTAATAACAAATGATACAAAATGGAAAACCTCCCTCCTTTCGCCAACCTCTTTCATTCTACATATCTACTGGGATACCAGTGTTGTAACATCATTAGTAAGACACACTATACTTACTGGACTATGTGGATCTTGAGTTTCTGCACAGAAAATCACAGCTGAAAAATGAAAAACACAGATATGGTTTTACAATATCTAAAATACAGGTATAATCAGTCATACAGTTTAAAAGGTTCAAACATTTCCTCATTTATAAAAATTTTGCCAGTTTGTATGCTTGTTTGTAAGAATATTTTAGACGCAATAACCCTAACAAACCATTACTGAGATACTACAGGAGCAATTGAAGGGCGTTATTGTTGTTCTGGAAAAAAATATATATAACACACCAACCTGTGGGTGTTAAATTCTCTGCCTGAAGCTTTCTCCTTCTCCTTCTGTCTCCCCTGTCTAATGAGAGACAAAATGCGACATGAAATACAGGTACAGTGCAACCTATATAAAAGGGTACTGTGTTAAACTGTTAGTTGTCAAAGTCCCAAAATTTCTTTCCCTTGAGTACTGTAATTTTCACTTCTATCAAGTGGTCATGGTTGCCCTTGACTAAGTCTGAACAGCCTGTTTCTAGTATCTTCCACCTGTACTGAACGTTCACTTAAGGCAAATTTATTTCAGAAATCAATGTTATCACCTTTAGTTCAAATGTTTGCAACTCATTGAAGATTATCTTTCTTCTTTGGACTGTTAGGACAACTATTACACACAAACATCACACAAGTTATTTGCTGGTCAACCTGTATTAAGCCCTACCATTCTCCGTGGGGGACCACTTAAAACAGGTTCATCTGTATCTTGCACAACATCATCTGTGAAGGAATATTACATGTACTATTGGACTAACAAGAAATTACCAGCACTGTTTTGAACATCTTCTTCAAAGGCTTTGGGTTGCATGGATTTTGTTCTCTTGAGTCTTCCCACCAACAATGGTGTGGCAGCCTCCTCAGGTGAAATAACTGGGAAGAGGTCCTCAGATACACGTTTTCCACTCTGCCGACAGCTCTCAACCCAAAGAACAGACACCAAGTAGATTCCCTTCTTAAGTGCCCTCTCCCTGATTGTCCTCTTGCCATCCTTAAATATCTAGAGAGATATGTTTATCAAATGACTTTTAGAACCTGTAACTTCTGTCAGTAAAGAATCACTTACTGTTAGTATGACTTTTTGAATGACCCATTCCATTGAAAACACTTTTTTTCTAAAATTTTCTATCACATAAATTAAATGCAAACAAGTGCAATTGAATATTCTATATCTCTTTTCTTTCAATGTGGCACAGAATTAAATAATGTAAATAATCTTACCACATGTGTAACCTCTGGAGTAAGCTTCTTGACAACCTGTGGTGGAAAATATTTAAGAATATTCATTTGAAATCCAGCAAGTGGTTTGTTAAAGCCAAGCAAAAAGAAAAAGAGGATGAAAATAGAGAGGCCAAAAGTTTTCCTAACAAATTGATTCCATTTCCCCCAATTTTTTATATATAACTCACGATATACATGTATGAAGGTGTATGTCTATTTCTATCCATTAAGTCATGACTTAATGTCAAAGGAAACTGTACCATTTGTGGCAAAAGCATCCAAAACAACGGTGGATTCTTCATTGAAGTGCCTATTGAAAATCAGCTGCTTAAGTTTTTCTCTGGTAAGTGCAAGACTAAGTATGTAATTGTGTTTATTATTATTGGCTAAACTTCAGAATACCCAGCCACTTTTCAAGTATTTTCAAATGCTACTACCACAGTCCAACAGTCGTCATAATTTATAACATAATATCGTTATTATTTTCATTATCTACAACAAAATTCTGGTTCTGGAGAGGCCTATTTGTCATGTAATTGGTGCATGATCAGGTTGGTACTGTACATGTACTGGTATCCAATGTCTGCATACTTCAAATCGGATACCTGTAATTGGACACCTACGTCATTTGCAAGTCAATTGACATCAATGGACAGTTTTTTGGGTCCGGGGAGGTGGGGATTTCACACAAATCATGTGCATTCTGATACAGGGATTTGAACCTGGAACTGCAAAAATTAATGCATGCCTCTTTTGCATATGAGCTGTTACTGAATACAATTTAAGCATAGATTACAGGGAAATGTAAAATGCTAGTATGCCCTCTACATCAAGAACGTTCAGCTATGTTTTATACAAGGGTCTCTTTTTCTTCAGATTCAGAATTTGTTGATGGACTAAAGTACCGATTTCACAGAGTTAAGAGGGCTGAAGCCTTATTACATTAAATTTTCGCACCACATTAATTTTGTGATTTTGAGGTTTATGCATTTCACAATTTTGCAAAAGGTTTTGTATTTTGAGTCACTTTTATTCTGTGTTTATCAGTGAGGTGATTTACCTTTTTGGCAATTTACTGTAAAAATTCTTTGACCTAAATATAAGGATTGTTGTACAAATAAGTTTCAAAAACTATTATGTTATCAAGCTTCAGGTCCGTTGACACTCACATCTTCAAAGTTAACTTCACTTTTCATTTTCTTTTGGACTTGCAAACTGTAATTTAACTTATTCTTTCTTGATTTTTACCTAATGCATAACATAATTTTCACATCATGTTATGTACACAAAACTTGATTTTAATGCCACTTAAACTTTTCAATATTTTAAAATTAATTGCCAAATTCGCAAAGTTTAGGCATTGCAAAGATTTCATGTAATAAGGAACATGTAGCTTGTTATTTTCCTACTTACAGTCTGCAAAGATTTCATTTAATATAAAGCCTTGAATCTTTGCTACCAAACTTAATTTTTCAAACATGAAAAACTTTTTTGAAAAAAGGCCTTCAGTTCATGGTGACAATGAGAAGGATCTATTATTCAACAAAGTATGATGCAGTATATGCATGTTGATATTGTTGTAAGTTTCATAAAACTCAAGTTAACACTTGAATTATGACATGTAACACAATGACAATGCATAGGTGAACAGAAACTTGAATGAAATTTTCATCTATTTTTATTAGGGAAGCATGTCAGAGTGTTGCAAAGTTATCTCTTGACTCATGTAAAATATTCTTAGACTTTTATGGTCATTTCAGTTAAAAAAAATGTAGCCTGTCAGAATAATTAATGGTTTTTGCTCTCTGTTTACAATAGAGGACATTATTGTCTCAGTCCAATTAATAAAATTGTCAATTACTCAATGTGTGGACATGTGTTTTCCCATTGCCATTATGAGCATAGATATGTCCCATAGATTTCCCATAGAACTACTGTCATGGGAGATCTTTGGGAAACAAGAGCTGAAATGGTTGAAATATGGAGAGTGAATGTCCCATAGAGATCCCATACAGTTTTCACAATGGGAAATCTATGGGGCATGATGAACACCTGTCAGCTGGTATGGGTAATCTATGGTATACTCTTCATAATGAATGTCCCATATCAATGCCATAGGTAAGGACAGTTGTGGGAATTCTTATTGGTATGGGATGTGTATGGGAACCTTATTCCCATAGGTTTCCCATAAAATAAGAAGCCTTCTATTTTCTTCCCATGCATGTCCCATAGTTAAAAATTTGGTAAAATTTGGCCCCATACCAATTCCATATACCCAGGTTACCTTCCCATACCATTCCCATCTATGGGTCAGATATGGTCCAAGCAGTCCCATACCATTCCCATACTTTTGCTTTGGTAAGGGCATCTACATCTATGGTGTATAGTATACATTTACTTTGCCATACATATTGAAGAAAATTTTGGGAAAAAATTAAATGGTATTTTTCATGATCTAGCTTTAATTTTCAACTATGTTTGGATACTGGTTTGTTTTACATCAAATTCTCAATTTTAATGAGCAAAATATTCTAAAACAGGTAACAAAGTCTGCAGCTTCTTGTCACTTGGCAGTTACACGCAGGCTATCACATTTAAGGAAATAAAAACAAAATGACTGAATTTGTTACCACCTGATATCCAGAAACAACTAATTACTGGGTCAGTATGGTGTGATTTACTTACTGTTGCTCCAAGCATTTCCACTTGTTTTGAAATTCCATCAAATCTGTTTTCAGTATTTGACCGTACCTCAATGAATGCTACAACACCTACATTGTATGAGAACATGTAAACATAAAGAGACAAACAAAACCTTTCAACTCAACAAAACAAGAACATGGTTTCAGTGCCTGGCATAAAATTAACTAATGTATACATTTTATTTGAGGTTTCAGCCTTCAATGGTTGGTTTCAATTTTTTGGGAGTCCACCATAACACAAAATGAATACAAATAATTTAATAGTAGTGCATATTAAGCCACATCTCCAAATGCTGGGTTTAAAACTCTATTTCCCAGCCCTCACTAATTGCATAACTTGGAAGACTAAAAGTTTTCTTCCTTTCAGGAAAATTAGACATGAGAAACTACTAGATGTAAATGAACAAGTGACAACAAGTAAATTATATTATAACAAGTTGATTTTTGGGGGTAATTTGGTATTGTGAACTGAGTTGATAACATAAATTGGCCACCATAAAGAGTTTCAAAGCGAACATTTCTAACATTAGCCCTTCATGAGATATTATTTGTATTATCAACTCAGTTGATAATACCAAATAACCATGTCATACTCTCCCACTGACACAGCACCACAGTTTCTTTAAAAACTTGCCCCCTTTATTTAGTTGATTTTTGCACTCCTTGTGTGTGCACAGTGAACCCTATATTGTGGGCTCTCAAGAGCTCTTCCCTTAACATATCTTTGCAAGTTCATAAAGACAACCATTAGGTTACAAAATTAAGTTAATACATAGTTAATTGTCTGCACTTTGCCATTATATACAGCAAATACAAATGTTCAAGTGTGGGCCAGTATTGAAATTGCTTTTTTTTTTCTACTTGTGCTTTAAAGACATAATAAAAATATTATGCTAAGTTCTTTACATAACTCATACCTTCCAGTATTTGGTCATGTGATACTGGTTGAGTAGAAGGAATGTCATTATCCTGCTCTGCACTGGAATTAGTTTCAAAAGAACAGTGGAAGTCAAAGCTTTCATCGTGAGCCTTTGATTTCTCCTCAGTAGCGAGGTTATTTCTACTTCTTGACAAAGTAGTTTTGTTTGATGTACTTTCCCTCAAAATGGCTTTCTTGAGACTTCCATTCTGTGAGGTCATTCCTTCTAATGTTGATTCCTTTAATCCAAAAAAAATTGAAAGATTTAGAAAATATGACCACTTTCAACATTACCCTTGTTGTAAAGAAATTGAGCTTGTGTTGTCTGAAAAAGGCTTGGAGGGGTAAAATGAGACCTGGGATTTGGGCCTCTATGACTGGGAATCACAGATTCCAAGTCATAGATATTGCCTAGCAATATTTTGCTAGGCAACACCATCAGCTTAATACCTAACCACACTTTGAACAACTCTTAAATCTATCCCTCCAAAAAATAACTCAAAAATGACTATTTAGGCAAAAAACTGAAAAAATATATACTTACAGTGTAGAGTGTACATTTAAGATTGAAAGACTAGAGAGACTTTAAAATAGTTTATTCAATGATAAAAATGTGATAATAAACATAACTATGTGGATACTGTGCAAGTTCAAACATGCCCGTGTAATTTAATCAAAAGCAGCACACGCGGAGCTAAAATCAGATATACGCTCCGACGTTCTCTTTTCAAATTATCAGCTTAAATTAAATTCAACAAGTAACATGTGTTGCTAAATTCTTTTTCATAGCTCATCACATGCTCCGATTGATCATTCTATCGAATACTAGTAATAACGACGTAGATTTATCTAAGCCATTTTCACCATACCTCTGATCTCTTCTTTGACGTTCCTGTTTTAAGACTGAGTAAGACTTTCTTCCGTTCCATTGTGGTCTGGAAAGTTTTTATCAGGATGAACAAGCGCTTATACGATCAGTCAAACTAAAATCGGATGGCATTACCGGCACGTCCTGGGCAAACGAAGGTCCAAAACGACTTAGATGTTTTCAAGAAATCCCGCCTTGCAAAACATGAGCCCACTACGTGTTTCAGCGGTATAAATATAAAAATTATTAATTCGTGTAATCCTTGTGAATGGTCCTTAATTATCAGTAACTTCATCAACCAAATTTAGGATATTTTTTTCGCCTATGCAGAATGAAGCTGTAAAGGTAAACCTTGTAATAGCGTTATTTCTTGATTAAAATAAAATTTTTTAGGGATCAAGATGTAGAAACACGGCTTAGCCCTTTAGTTCCCTGAAGTGATCAACATGTAAATTTTCTCTATAATATCCATACATAATCTAGCAAAAAGGTAACGAGAATACTCAAACTTATCAAGTAGAAGCTGTTATCCTAATCTGACACCAAATTCTTGTAATTAATTCACAATAAAATATGTAGCAGCTGGAGTGGCAAATTAACATTATCAATCATATTTTAGGAGTTTTAAGGGTTAAGATTAGACCATTTGATAGTGGAACAATGGTTTGAAAGGTTGTGTGATATGTCAACTTAAAGCTATGAACTCTGACACTTCCTCACTCTTAATCTTAGAATATGTATCATCACACTACTTAAACTTAAACTCATTATTTATTAAGGGTTTTAAACTTGGGTGAAGGGGTTGCATGAGTTGTAACAGTTGCCTATATTTTCATATTTGCATCAACCTCTCTTTGAATGCTCATTTAGATTCATTCATGTCTCCAATGGGAAGAATAATAGTTCTTTTAATGTCCCTGCTGCTTCGGGTTAGTTTAGCCTATGAAAAGATGTCACCCATGCGGACCACTCACTTACTACTTTAATATTTTAATAGCATAATGACCCTTCAAGGGAACGCATGGCTGCAGAATAATCTCAAAATTTTCTATACTGCAATCATACAAAGGAGCCATACTTCCCTTACATTTTCTCTGCACCAGCTCACACACTATATGGTTTATCAGGCCATTAATGAATGATGTCTTTTCTACTTATTTGTGCTGTCTGTGCATTTACATCATAAAGTTTGATTAACAATTTGAAGCAAAATATTTGTATTCATAGTATGATGGTTTTCAAAACCTTGGTTTCTTTCTCTATTTTGACATTAAAACCTTTGGAGAACAAGTTTAGTACCAATTCTCTTGTCAGTTATAAGTTAGTTATGAATCCTTTAAGGGAGAAGGGAGCGAATCCAACCAGTGTTTTTTTTGGACCTACCCAGATTAGGGGTGTCACAATTTAAGTACTTTATGATACATTTGTATCAGAATATCTAAATTAAAACCAAGTAGATTTGAAATCCTGCAGAAATCCCCCCCCCCTCCCTTAGCTGTTGACTTCTTTGGAGAAGGGCACCATGTAAAACAAGAGTGGATGACTGGTTTTCCTTTCTTGTATTGTATGGATGACTTAGTTATGTGATGCTTTCCTATGACAATATTTTGCTTTACTGAGGAAGGAGGATATGTGTCCTAAGCAATGTCTTGAAACAATCTGAACACTTGAGTTCAATGAAAATTTCCAGTTGTACAAAACACTATATTTCTTCATGAATGTTCCTCTGGAAGGTTTTTATATTCACAGCAGCTACTGCAGAGGAAAGCATGCATTGGGGTAACCAAAGCGTGTTTGTCTAAGTGTATTGTAATTAGGAATAGTTTCAGTTTACTCCAATTGACTGATTGAAGAATTGGGGTAGAATATCAAATCATCTGAGTGTTAATTAGGAACCAAATAGAGTATAATTAGATTTAAAAAGGCTCTGACCCTGATTTGCAAGCAAAATACAGAAAGGAGAGTCATTAAGTTTTCATGGATGGTGACGCATGCTTATGCCATGTGATATTCCTTGAAGTGATTCCAAGAAAACAATGTTCTCAAAGTAAGAACCACTGATTTACTGATTACCAATATTCTTTTAAGGTTGTTAATGAAAATTTATAGACCCACTTCAAACTTTTGTCATTAGGAAGCTCAGTTATAGGATTTAACCTTAAGTGGGATGAAAGAAAAAGTCACTCACACAAATAATTTCACTCTGTTACTGACACAAATAACTTCAACAACGGACATTGTTTCTTACATTGTTAAAGAGATATTTTCCCTTCTGTGGCACTGTGGTTGAGTTTACATTTTTCTTTAAGGGAGACTGATATCAAAGATTCATATATATCAAATGGTGTTCCAGATAAGATGAGAGATTTATTCACAATTCTCAGCTCATTATACATGTATACAAGCTTACATAGTGCTATCATTAACTGAACTGGTTCCTGATCAAAAACAAAATGCCAAACAAATTTATTTAAGTCTGAGGTCTGAATATAAGGCACAAATACCTCACTTTTATTGTGCATGATTTTGGTGCTTGTTGAGCTGAGCTAAGCAGAAAATTGATTGCATATTTACTGCTCACATTATCCACAGCCGAACCTTACAATACTGCTTGCAAAATGAACATATCAGCAATAATATAAAATAGATATCATACTGATTCGAATATCTGAATACGGTGATTACAGAAGTCTGTGACAACTATCTTTCCATCACTTAAGACTGCTAAGGAGACTGGTTTATTAAATTGCCCTGGGCCAGTGCCCTCTGTTCCAAATTTGGACACAAAATTTCCATCTAAATCAAATACCTGAATTCTGTGATTCATAGAATCACAGACCATCAGGTTTCTTGCCTTATTCACTGCTAAGCAATGGGGTTGATTGAAATTACCATCACCATCTCCCTTTTTCCCAAATTTATATAGATAAGTGCCATGTCTGTCAAACACATTGACGCAATGTTTGTTACGGTCTGACACATAATATTTGCCATCATACCTGACACAATGAAAAGGATAGCTAAAAGAACCCCTCTCACCAATTTTACGCAGGAAATGGCCATTGTTAGAAAATATCTTAACTAGTTTGTTTGTGTTATCAGTGACGATGATATCGTCATCATCTGAAGATAAACCAAGCGGATTTTTAAGCTGGCGTAATAGATTTCCTTTCTCACCAAACTGGCTCAGGTACTCACCCTGCTCACTGAACAACTGAACACGATGGTTACCATTGTCTGCAACTACAATGTTTCTGTTCTTATCAAATATTATGCCTGTGGGATAATCAAATTCTCCCTGTTTGGCACCCTTCGCGCCAAAAGATCTTAAGTGTGTGCCATCGCTGGTGAATATCTGAACCCGATCGGTCCCATGGGGTCGACGATCGGTGATTGCTATTTCATCGCGTTCGTTAACTGCTACACCCCACGGGAAGTTGAACATTCCGTCAGAAGAACCTTCTTCTCCGAAAGATAAAACTGGTTCAAAATGGCCGGGATTTAAGTGAGCAGCGAATAGACGGTGAGGAAGAGGTTCTCTATTTACAGCTGCCAACCCTTCACTGGTCTTTGCAACAAAATCGCTGATTTTAAAGCGAACGTCGTTGGGATCTTGAGCCACGGGAACCTTCGTCGCACCATCATTACCTTGGCAAGTGCCAGAATCATCTTGCTCTTTATCGCGTTGCTGTTGGGATTGCTCGTACTCGACGTGACTTGTTCTGAGTGCATTTGGAGTTTCAACAGAGCTGGAGACTGATGCTGTTTGTTTACTTTCAAGGGAACCGATTTCTTCATCGTTCACATTGTTGAATAGGTTTTGATTTCCTTTGAAATTTATCTCGCAAAATCGTACATTGCCAGGAGCAACGGAGTTGTCATGACGAAATTCCCTTTGCAGCAATTTCTCAAAAACACTGTATTGTTGTAATATGTCTGCGTTTGGGTTTCGTTTCAAAAGATTTTCAGTTTTGATAAGTGCTAAACGTTTTGTGTTCACTTGGCTTTCAATCTCGTTTTTATCATGCTCAAGCCTTTGAGTTGACAATGCCGCTTCCTTTTCTAAGTCGGCAATGATTTTCTGTTTCTTCTTTTCAAGGACAGCGATTGTGTCATCGACAAACTGCTCCACTCTTCTCTTTAATTTTTGGAAATGAATGTCAATCCTAGCACAATCCTCTTCAATTTTTGCTATGTCAGTCATATTATTCTCTATGCTTTCCCTGTAGGATTCAATTTCAGACATGACATTCGACTTTAGTTCGTTTGCAGTCTCCTCCAAATGTACTTTGGGATGGCCGTCATGTAGTGCTACTATGCAAGTTTGGCAAATGGCAACTTCGCATTTCTTGCAAAAGAACTTTAACTCTTCTGCTTTGTGGTCCTTTATTTGGCAAAAGGCAGGTCTCTTTAGAACATTCTCAAAATCATGTTCTTGAAAGTCGTGAAGAGCCATTACGCGATGTTCTTTGTTAGCCCGAATAATGTTATGCCCGGTGATACACGCGTTACACCAGAATGCGCAGCATTGAAAACAGTACAAACTTTGGGTGCTTGTTTTGTCGCAGTTTCCACATTTCACTCCTCTGCTATCGTGTTCTTTAATGGCCACGACATCTAGCAGGTTTACAAGGCGGAAGTTAGTGGGCAGCTCTTTAAGATCTCCACTGCTAGGAACACTAATTTCTGTTTTGCACTCAGGATCGGGACATGTAAAGGTATCAGGGCGGCCACTTGATCGCAGAACCTGCTCTAAGCAATTCAGGCAAAAACTGTGTAAACATGGCAGCATTTTAGGTTCAGTATTAAGAGCCTGGCACTTTGAACAAGAAACTTCCTTGCGAAGATTCTGAAGGTTGTGTGTTAAAAGTTCAGTTTCCATGACTGTAGCAGCTAGACAGTTGGCAATAGATCAGTTGTCAACTGGCCGCCAAAACATAACTGCAGCAGAGTCTGCATTAATTCTGCTCTTTTATCATGAAATATCTCATGCTTCACTGGATTTCTCGGAATTCGGAATTTGTCAATCACGACTGCTCTTGATCGTAAGCTACACAACTGTTTGAAAATTTTGTTAAAAGCCATCTTGCGATACTCTAAACTCGTTAACAAACAATTAAATGAAAAAAAGCATTTTCCGATCCCAGTTC